AAAAATATATTTATATGTATAAAATAAACAATTAAGTTTTAAAGATAAATAAGGAATAATCAAAATTAAAATGAAAAAGTTCTTTCAAAACGTGGGTGAATGAGCTTTTCAATAATTAGATTTTTTGGTCCAAAAAGTTCTTTCCAAAAGTTAATTTACCAAACAGCTAAATTAGCTTTTTGACTGATTAAATAACTAAAAATTGTTCAATAAGCTAAAATATTTTCAAAAAGTTGTTTCCAAACACTCTTGAAGCCTTTTGTGTAGGCACTGAAATTTTAAGTATAATAAATTATGATGTGTTTCTTTTTGATTTGTTTGAAAAGAAAATGATTTAAATTTTGGATTAAAATAACATGTAATAAAATATTATTAGAGAAAAAATATAATTTTTTTAAAAAACTATAAAATTCAAATAATAAAAAAATGAAATTTAGTGTCAATAAAAACATACTCTTAGTCATTTACATTGTAAATTCGCAGGGATTATTATTTAATGATTAAATAAAATTTAAAATATACGTTTAAATATTCTTTTATATTATATTTTAATAAAATATATATAATATAAATATTATTTTATAAGAATAAATTTTTATATGATACAAATAAAAAAATATTTATTTATTTACCATTATCTTTCAATAATTTTATAAAAAAAATAAAAAATTTTAGAGATAAATGAGTATTTGTTAATTGAAATGAGAGGTAAAAATAAATGGACTTGAGCGGGTGATATGCGTGAGGTGGGAGGTTATAAATTTAATTAAATTTATTTATATTTATTAAAGGTATTTAAAATTGATAAATTTATATAAAAATAAAAAGAGATAATCTTTTGTAAGACGAGCCAAAACAAAATCATCCGGCAGGCCGAAGAGAATATATTGTTAATACAAAAAATAATATTTTATATTACATTATTGATTTTTCTTTATATTACATTATTGATTTTTCTTGTGAGAAAACATAAGTATTATGTATATTTTGTGTGCATATAATATATTTTTTGATTTTATTAATAAAAATGTATAGGTTAAAAAAGCTTGTTATATACATTTCATTATTCGTTTCATATATTTTATGCCATCATATATGAATCATATAGATTATAGTTTTTTTGGATTTTATCACATATTTTTACTATTCATATTTTTTAAAAAAAAAAAATATCACTTTCAATAATTTTTTTGTATTATATTACAAATTTATTTTACATTAAAACATCAACATCTACTTATATCACGTTAAACAACTATTCAAATTCAATTTTTTACTAGGAAAAAAATCAATTTTGGTCCCAATATAATCAAAATTAATCAATTTTTGGTCCCAATATAAAAAATTCATTAATTTTGGTCTCAATATAACCAAAATTTATCAATTTATTTTGGTCCCAATATAAACAATTTCAATCAATTTTGGTCTCATTATAAACAATTTTTATCAATTTTGGTCCCACCGTTAAAAAACAAACGAAAATTGCTGACGTGGACATGAAAGAGGTGACGTGGCAGTTGACTTGAAAAGTACACGGCCATGTTGTTACGTGACCATGTATATTTCAGTGTATAATTGTACATGGCCATGTACAATTATATACGGCCATGTTGTTACAGGGTCATGTATATTTCAGTGTATAATTATACATGGCCATGTTGTTACACGGTCATGTACAATTATACACGGTCATATTGTTACATGACCATGTATATTTCAGTGTATAATTATACATGACCATGTTGTTACACTGCCATGTATAATTCTACACGGCCGTGTATCTTTCTGTTTCGGTATAAAATTTTAATTTTTTGTTATATTTTTAAATTTATTTTTTTTGAATTTAGAATAGTTGATATAGTTAAAATGGAAAATAATAATCATAATATAATTAAAATATATCAATTTTAGTTCAAATATAAGTATTTATCAAGTATGTTCTTTTGGAAGATTTTGTCTAAAATTATACTATTTAGCAAAAATTTCAATATATTAATTGGATGTTTGTAAGAGAAATTTTTTTTAGTGTAGTGTAGTAATTAGTGGTTTCTTAATGACAGAAGAATGTATAATTGGTATATGGTTGAATATTAAGTTTTATATGCAGGTGCAGTTAAGTATGTGAAAAATTGCAGCTTAGTTTGAAGTATGTCTGCTATTGTTTTTTAATAGTGATGATGGATAATATAAAATGTTTTGGCTTTAAAAATAATAATAATATTTTTCCTTATATATATAATGTAAATATCTGTCTTATTTAAAAATTTAAATTTTTAGAAATGAGTATTATTCATTTACGAGAGTTTATATACTCTCTTCGTCCTATTGGAAAGGTGACATTTGTTTTTTTCAAATAAATTTTTTAATGTTAGTATTATATTGGATTGTAGTGAAAAAGAAAAAAATACCCCTATTAGTATGGTGTAATATAAAAGTAATGATATTTGTGTAATATATTATAACTTGAAATGATATTTATTATGTTAGATAGGTAGTACAGTTACTAAATTAAAAAATGATAACTTTGTTTTAGGACGGACGAAAATAAAAAATAGTAACCTTTTAATGGGACGGAGAAAGTATAAATAATGACATGCAAAGGTTCTAGAAATAGTGATAATGGGACGAAAAGACAGTGTTAAAAGGTGTGATGGTGTCGTCTGGTATTTTTTTGTTAAGTCAAAACTTTGACTATGCTCTTTTTATTTCACGCATCCCGAAAACTCTTTTAGCTAGAGCTCTTTTAGCTAGAGTGACAGTGGAGTGACGTTTTATATATATATATATAAAAATAAAATATACTCTCTTCCTCCCACATAATTTGTTCATATTTTCTATTCTTGTATGTCCCACATAATTTATCTATTTTTTTTTGAAAATATAATTATACACTTTAATCTCATTTTAAATTTTAAATTTTATAATTTTTTTAATCTTAATTAAACTATTTAGTTATTTTAATCTTAATTCACAATTATTTTTATTATACGATAATTATTTTTACTAATAGACTTCTTAATTATTTATTAATCACACTTTATCTAAATATCTAAATTCTCGTATCTACAGTAATAGACCCATAATACATGGGACGAAAGGAGTATTATTTTTTAATATAAATTATTATTTTATTTTGAAAAAATAATAAAAACCAACACATGTTGCATGCCTAAGTAATGCCTGGTAGATAACCCTCATATTAATTCTGATCCTTCTCTATAAAAAAAAATAAAATTGAGTTTGTTTCTTTCGAGTTTATAATAAATTTGATATTAATTTAAATGATATTTTGATATAATATTTTATAAAAATAAATAATATATCTTCTTATTAAAATTGTATAAAGAATAACTGAAATCAACAAAAGAACAAACTATTCTATCATCTAAATTTGATTTATTTATAATAAAACAAGCATACTTCGCCTCTAAATCTTTACTAAATTTATTTCTAATTTAACTTTGTGCTTTTTTGAAGCCTTAAATTTTGTTTTAATTTAAATAGTTATTCAGGTATTTTAAAAATAATAAATTTTATATACTATTGCAACATTGTATAGCCAAAAGAAATCAGACTCAAACCTTAAAGATGTCACTAAAGTGCCCTGAAACTTCCATCACAAAATTAAAATTAAATAAATAAACTTATTATACATATATATAATATTATATACAATATTTATTTTATAAAATATAGGTTTGTTCTTCAAAATTATTTTTTTTCTCCCCAATCATTAGACATTTAATATAAATACAATTTTTATATTATTTACACAATCTCCGTATAAAGAAATATATATATACCACAAACCAAAATACTAAACAAACCAACCTATTTTTAATAAAATAAATAAAACACAATATAATGTTATTCATATTATTCAATATTTATTTTATATTTTAAAATTAGTGTAATATGAAAATTTAAAAATGAAAACACAATAATATATTGATTGACTTGTCCAAACATTCCAATCCAACTTGTTCTTTCTCATGCTCATTGTCTCCCTAGTGAAAGAAAACAAATACTACTATAACTCAAGATTGACAATGCCAGCCAAGAATATGTTATAAAACATAAGAATGATACAACAAAACTTCACCCACCCTCTAAATTTTGAATCATTATCTTTAGCAATTTCTAATGTAAGACAACCTAACATTCAAACAAATTATGGGATCAAACATTCAAATAAATCATGTGATCAAACATTGCCAAGATATGCATAAGAATTTGTCTATATAAGTCAAAAACAAACTAACCTCGAAGCACAGAAAATAAGAATCCGTTTCTTTAAAGTCTAATTTTTGTCGGACACTACGCAGAAAAAATAAAAACAATAAAAAAATCACCAAAATCATCAAATCAAAGATCTAATTTTCATTTAACATATTGCAAACTATTTCAAATTTTCATTAAAACATCACAGCATATACTATTTCCTTCAAATATTTACTATTTCCAAATCCAAACCTTATAGAAATATCAATTCCCCATATTCTAGCATACACAAGCAATATTTACATCCATTGGAAAATGTAAATTAAGGACTTCTAATTCAAATAAACCACTAAAATAACATGAATGTTATTTGATCAGCAGCCATGGCTCTCAATACTGGAAGCATTAAACTATTCACCATGGACCAAAGACACAAAAGAACTAAAAACCTCGAAAATATCCATAAACACCATAATAACATTTTAATGTAAAATCCCAACACCCCTTTGCATTCATTGTCACCAAGTTATATCAACAGAATCATAACAGATCTCCTTGTGTATGTGCAAATATATATATATATATATATATGTTAAATTTTCTTGCTTCTTTCAGATGATCTAATAAAAATGCAAAGATTGCATGCACAACAGGGTTGTAAAGCCCACAACATACATATATATCACAATATCAGTCATAATTTTGTAAAATAGAAAACCTATCTACTGCAGGGCACAAATAATCTCAATAAAATAAATTGAAAACTACAATAAGGCACCGAGGAGAAGCATCCATCACACCCCAAAACCAAAGGGTTTAAATAACAATGTCATATTCTAAAGCAAAAACTGTTAATTACGACCAATTCGAATTGATACATGCATCCAAGATAAAGAATTAGAAAAAAATATATATACTTTCTCACATTCTTGTGAATTCAATTACTAGTAATTCATTATACCATGAATGCAAGGAGAGTATATATATAATCAAGCAACATTAGATTTAATCACCCTTTCTCCTGAAGGAGCAGCCCTCTGTAAGTCTGGCGCGCCCACCTGTAGGTTGGCAAAGCACTGTCTGACAATTTCCGCACACCACCACCGTCTGAGAATGGCTAAATACAGTTGTTCTGCACATAGATCAACATTTTATTTTTTTTGGAAGAAAAACATAATCAATTTCTCATTCAATAGAAATCAAAATTTTTGAGATTCAGATAACGGTATAAAGCGAAAATGCCTACTTACATGTTAAAGCAGCCTTGGCACTTGACATCCTACAGTTAAGAATAGAGTATTGAGTAAAAAGCGACAACAGAACGAACAATAAATGTACAACGCGAAAATTAAAGCGTATGAATGAGCGACTCACCATGAAGAAAGAATTCGGGGATTGAACGAGACGCTTGAGCTTGTGCTTCCTCTTTTCAAGCTCCGCCGGTGGGTTGAGCAAATCGTAATCGTTTGAAAGGACCTTATCACGAACATCATTGGTTAAGCACACACGAATCTCAATTGAGAATCGATAAAAGATATTAACAGCAGCGAGTAAACGAATCACAAATCTACCATTTTGATTCGGAGCGCAACGGAGGCGGCAGCGGCTGAAAAGAGGCAAGCGACAAGAAACTCAGAGAATGCAAGAGAAGTGCTCCTAGGGTTTTGGCGATAGTACATGTATATTCCTGTATTGGCGCAAGCCGTTAGATTTGCGATGAAGTTTCAATCTTGACCGTCCATTTAATCAGAGACCATTGATCAGATTCAGAACCGGACTGAAACCACCCGAACAACTAGGAAGCAGCCCGGCCCGATCGAGGGCCGGGTCACTACAGTGAACATGGGCCTAGTCTCAAATTTGGGTCCGGGCCTTTAATGGATTTGGATCGCGGGCCAATATGATTAGGACTGATCCAAGATTGAACCGGACTGGTTCGGTCAGCTTGACTGGTCGGGGGGTATGATCCGGCCCAATCCGGACTACTTACCATTGATCAAATGGGACTATTTGGGCAACTTGACCCGGATATAAAATATCAATGTTTCGTTTGATCAAAATTCCAAATTTCTACTATTTGATTCTCTATTTTTCAAAAACAAAAAAATAAAAATCAAACGAATAGGAGATTATATTTTTTAGGGGGATTTTCTTTAATAATTTTTTTTTTGATATTTATTAATTTTATATAATACAAAAATTAATATTGTAATATGTAATTATTGTCGTAAGTTGATATATTGCAAGAATTTTTTTAATATGGTAATTCTATTTACAAAAGTGTGAAGAATTAGCCCCCTTCTCGTGCCCGTCTGGATTCACCCCGGCCCACAACCCAATATATACAATCCAAGACCTTAATCATCAAGTAATATTATAATTTTTTATTTTTTATTTCAAAAATTAATATATATAAATTTATTAAAAATTAAAAATTAATTTTAAAAAACGGGCCGATTAAACACGATCTGACATTTATGAGTCCAGACACAACCTGATTCATTAACATGCCGGACCAAACATGGCCCAAAAAATATCGGCCCTATTTTTTTAGACTCAAGCACTGTTTTTTCCGTCCTAATCGGACCCGACTTTCGAACCATTCTTATTTTTGACATCTCTAATAATAATGACATATTTATAAATAAATATAATATTGAATAATATAAATAAAAATATATATAAAAATTAGTTTACATAAATAAACATATATATTTTTGTAAAGAAATAAAAATAAATTCCTAGATTTAAAGTTGATAAGTAAAATATAATAATAATAATAATGTATTGTATAAATTGCATGCGAACTAGCTGATTAGGCTAACCAATATTGCTTTGATTACTAATTAACACAAGACATATATAAGATAAAACTCAACGAATTGGGTGCTGAAATTTCAGCGCCGGCCGAATAACTATGATTAATTATATATGTTTTTTTATGAATTATATTAATTCATTATATAAATTAAAATTAATTAAAATCTTAAGTGTGAATTAAAAAGATTTCAGCACATGATCCTTGTTGAAGATAAAATATAATAATGCATTTTTCTTTTTTTATTTTTTTTTTATCAAGCTTAAGTTATAGAATATTCACAAGAGCCATCATAATTTATTTATTTTATTCAAAAGTGTTATTTAAGATTAAAAATAATAATAATAATAATTAGATGTTCAAGATCAACTTTAAATGGGGATACATTTTTTCTTTTTTGGCATCTTTTAATTTAAAAATGACACAATAAATAAAATATAAGTATTTAATGTAGTTATAATAAATATAATAGGTAATATACAATTTACCGTTATACAATTTACCATAATATATACTCTCATCTCAATTGTATGTCTATTTTTTTTTTCATTTCGATCTGTTTTATATAATTTATTTTTTAAAAAAATATGATTATATATTTTAATTATATTTTAAATATTATTATTTATTATTTTATTAATTTTTTAATTAAATTATTGTGTTATACTGGGGTAATAATTATTTTACTAATATAGAATAAGAGGGAGTGTTTAATTTAATATTAGTAGCATACAGCTGCAATCAATTACGTTTATTAAAGTTAACAGTAAATAAATAAAAATGTAAATTTACAATTTCGAGATTTGGACGGTAAATCATGCAACATTGAAGATGGACCTATTAACGGCTGAGATTGGCCGGAACACATCACACCATTTTGGTAGCGAAATGACGATTATGACCTCCAATGTGTTCATCGCTATTCCGTTTCCTCGCTTCCCTTTGATGGGAATAACGTCATCGAAATCTTCAGAGCTCAGACTTTGACTCCCATTCTTACACTGAACTCCGATCTGATTCGGAAAGCTATTCAGCGCCGCCGGCCGATATGCTCCCGCCGGAGCTCCAGCCACGGGCCTTCCGCCCCTACATATCGTCCTCGGTAAGCGCCCCCTCTTTCCCCTCTTCGTCGTCCTCCTATAATGGCGACCAAAACCCCAACCCTAGCCCTGCCGCCTCCATGTATTACGGCGGAAGCGCCGGCGGCGGTCGACGCACCAGTTCATCTATGAAGAATTCCAGGTTTTCTCCTTCCAGTTTCGTCCACAACGCCAGAATTGCTATCGCGCTGGTGCCCTCGGCTGCTTTTCTCATTGACCTAGGCGGCGGGCCCGTTGTCGCCACTCTTGTCGTCGGTTTAATGGTTGCTTACATCTTCGATTCTATGAATTTCAAATCCGGCTCCTTCTTTGCCATATGGTTTTCTCTACTTGCGGCGCAGATTACGTTTTTCTTCAGTTCTTCTCTCTTTAACACCTTCAATTTCGTGTCTCTAGCTCTCACTGCTGCCCTAACTTGTGGACTGACGAATTTCTTAATTGGAGTTTGGATTTCGCTTCAGTTTAAGTGGATACAAATCGAGTATCCCACCATTGTGCTTGCTCTTGAGCGTGTTCTGTTTGCCTCTGTTCCGATCATAGCCTCCACGCTTTTCACCTGGGCAACTGTTTCCGCCGTTGGTATGATAAATGCTGCTTACTATCTGATGATTTTTAACTGCATTTTCTACTGGCTCTACTCGGTTCCTCGTGTGTCCTCGTTCAAATTGAAGCAGGAATTGAGTTACCATGGTGGTGAGGTTCCTGATGATAATTTCATTCTTGGTCAGCTCGAGAGTTGTGTGCACACTTTGAATCTTTTGTTCTCTCCTTTATTGTTCCACATTGCATCACACTATCTAGTGGCATTTTCATCTAGTGCTGCTGTTTGTGATATGTTCCTGCTTTTCTTCATTCCATTTCTATTTCAACTTTACGCATCTACAAGAGGGGCACTGTGGTGGGTTACTAAGAAGGAGCATGAGCTGAAGAACATTCGTCTTGTGAATGGTGCTGTGGCGCTGGTAGTTATTGTAATATGCTTAGAGGTCAGGGTTGTTTTTCATGCATTCGGACGGTACATTCATGTTCCACCACCTCTGAATTATCTGTTAGTCACTGTTACAATGCTTGGAGGTGCAGTTGCTGCTGGTACTTATGCTATTGGTTTGGTATCTGATGCATTCAGCTCACTGGCCTTTACTTCTTTGTCGATCGTTGTCAGTTCTACTGGAGCAATTGTCGTTGGATTCCCTATCCTGGTACTACATTCTGTATCAATTTATTTGTAGCATGCATCTTTAGTTTCCTCATAATATGATGCATCTGATGAGAATATGTTTTTATGTAGTGTATTTTAATTTATTTTTCGTTCTGCTTCTTGCAATTGTATGCAACTAACACTGCTTGATCCTTCAACCAAAAATTACTCATCATTGGCATAGGTTTTGTTGATATATGGTTTAAACTTTGTGAAATCAGTTAGTATGTATTTCATCTCTATTTGAGCAGATCATTATTTGGATTTTGTGTGTGCACATATGTATATTATATGCTGTATTGCTCGTGTTAATATTTTGATTATTTGGAATTTTCCATATAATATTTGTGAGTTTCCTTCTAGCAAGAAGAATAGTTTGTAACCTAATGATAGCTAGCTCAGCTTTTTCACTTTTTCCCAAGTAGACATGATTAGGTAAAACAAACATGATCAGGCGATGTAGGAATGGATAAATAGTTCCCTGGTACATCCGCGATTGTTTTTTTGGGCTTAAATAGTAGCGATTGTTGAAGCAGTACATTCTCTCTAGTCTCTTACCATTGTGTATCTCAAAGCCTTTGTTTTCTGCTCTCTTCATCCTCGTTCTTATGTATTTGACATTTTAGGATATCTGTTGTGGTGGGTAATGAACTTCAATAGCATGAATTCTGCTACCTTAATCTCACTGAAACCATAAATTTGGAAACAAAGAAAAAGTGGTGGGGAGAAAACCTGACATCAACAGCAGCAAAAAGGATGTCGGCGGAAAGTTATGACTGGCACTTTGGTTTATCTCATTAAATCATTGCATTGTAATGCTGGGCTTTCTATTGACTGGTGCATAGCTTTTGAACAGCTAGCATCACCTGACAGATACTCCTGTCAAAATGAAATTCCAATTTTAGACTTCTATAAAACCTTAAGATACAAAATATTAGTATATGTTTCTTGGGATAGATAATATATGTAATTTTGATGAATTAATAAGCATTGATTCTTCTAAATAACTCCGATGGCTGAACTAGATATTGGTAATCTGCAGAGGTGTATTTTTTTTTCCCATTTACTGAATCCTGTGTTGAAACCCAATTTCTGCATTGTGAATATCTGACTTGGTGTTTCTGAAAGATCATGTTTTGTAGGCTAAATTTTCTAATGTGTTTTATCCTTCATTTTTCATCATGGAGATGTAAGTCAATTCGAAGAATTATTTACAAAGAACATGACAAAAAACACCTTGCATCCTCAAACCTCTCTCTCCTTAATGTTTTGTTTTATAAGCATATAGCTGAAAGCCAATAATTTTCATTATGCAGTTCCTCCCACTCCCAGCAGTTGCCGGATATTATTTTGCTCGATTTTTCACAAAGAAGAGTTTGCCTTCATACTTTGCTTTTTTTGTTCTCGGTAGCTTAATGGTGGCATGGTTTGTCATGCATAACTATTGGGGCTTGAATATTTGGATAGCGGGCATGCCATTGAAGTCTTTCTGTAAGCTTATAGTTGGCAGTATAATTCTGGCAATGGCAATTCCTGGTGTAGCTGTTCTTCCACCAAAATTCCGTTTCTTGACTGAAGTTGGATTAATCAGTCATGCATTGTTACTGTGCCATATTGAAAATAGTTTTTTTAACTATTCAAATGTGTATTATTATGGGATGGATGACGAAGTAATGTATCCAAGTTATATGGTTGTGATGACTACTTTTGCTGGTTTGGCCATTGTGAGAAGACTATCTGCAGATCACAGAGTTGGATCAAAGGCAGTTTGGGTTCTGATATGCCTTTATTCAGCAAAACTGTCTTTACTTTTTGTGGCATCAAAGACTGTGTTGTGGGTGGCTGCTGTTCTTTTGCTAGCAGTATCTCCTCCGCTGCTGCTTTACAGGTACTGACAAACTTATTCCTGATGTAATTTGTCATGTTTTCTTTTGTTTAAAATTCGCCTATTTGATTATCTTGCAGGGATAAATCTAAATCAGCATCAAAGATGAAACCTTGGCAGGGTTATGCCCATGCATGCGTTGTTGCTTTATCTGTTTGGTATTGCCGTGAAACCATCTTTGAAGCCCTTCAATGGTGGAATGGAAGGTCTCCCTCAGATGGTTTGGTTTTCGGCTCATGCATCCTCTTGATCGGATTGGCTTGTATACCAATTGTTGCACTTCACTTTCCACATGTCATGGTACCTTTTATTATCTTATACTCAATTATATTTAAATTAGCTGAAATATTTTAGATAATACTACTATGTAATCTTTCTAATTAATGGAGCAGATATAATCACTTGCCAATCATGTGACAGTTTTAGTATTCAGGGCATGTCTTGATTTACTTTCAGTTTAAGCTCTGCAGTTGGTTTGAATGATTGTTTTTCTATCTCAGAGAGCTTCAAAATGCTTTAACTTTTGAATTGCCCTTAAACGATAGTGTTGTTAATATTGACCCAAATGATTTTACTATGATTTTACTAGCTATCTGTTCTTTTTATGCACCTACTTCTGTCATTTGCGTTAGAAATGGTGTTGATGTGATAAATTTATTTTGTTTATCGCAGGCTGCTAAGAGATACTTGGTATTGCTTTTAGCAACTGGTCTGCTCTTTGTCCTGATGCAGCCACCAGTGCCGCTGGCATGGACTTATAACTCCGATTTTATCAGATCTGCTCGTCAGTCTACTGATGATATCTCGATATATGGCTTCATGGCTTCGAAGCCTACGTGGCCATCATGGTTGCTTATCATAGCCATCCTGCTCACTCTTGCAGCTGTCACCTCCATTATTCCCATCAAGTACATAGTTGAGTTGAGGACATCTTACGCCATTGCTCTGGGAGTTGCACTTGGAATTTACATATCTGCAGAGTATTTTCTTCAGGCGGCAATTCTACATGCTCTTATTATCGTTACCATGGTCTGCACTTCCGTGTTTGTCGTATTCACGCATTTACCTTCAGCCTCCAGCACAAAGCTATTGCCTTGGGTGTTTGCTCTGATTGTGGCACTCTTCCCCGTCACATATTTACTCGAAGGGCAGGTGAGAATCAACAAAAATGTTCTCGGCGAGATCGAAGATATGGCTGAAGAAGACAGCAAGATTGCGACATTACTTGCAGTTGAAGGTGCAAGGACATCTCTTCTCGGTTTGTATGCAGCCATCTTCATGCTAATAGCCCTCGAGATTAAGTTCGAGCTGGCTTCACTCATGCGGGAAAAACACACTGACAGAGGCGGGCTTCGACATAGCCAGTCCGGAGAAGGCAGTCTGGCTACCGTTCCTCCAAGATTAAGATTCATGAAGCAACGCAGGGCCTCTACAATGCCGACATTTACCATCAAAAGAATGGCTGCAGAGGGCGCCTGGATGCCAGCAGTCGGCAACGTTGCCACTGTCATGTGCTTCGCCATATGCCTGATCTTGAATTTGCATCTCACTGGGGGATCAAACCGGTCGATCTTTTTCTTGGCACCCATTCTTTTGCTGCTTAATCAGGACTCGGATTTCTTCGCCGGATTTGGCGATAAGCAGAGGTACTTCCCGGTCACTATGGCGATCTCCGTGTACCTCGCCTTGGCTTCGCTATACAGCATCTGGGAAGAAGTGTGGCATGGAAATACGGGGTGGGGGGTTGATATTGGGGGGCCTGATTGGATATTCGCTGTCAAGAACCTCGCCCTCCTCGTTATGACAATCCCGAGCCACATTTTATTCAATCAATTCGTTTGGAGCTTCACGAAACAGGCGGACTCTAAGCCACTGCTTACTATACCCCTGAATCTGCCCCCGGTTATCGTCACAGATCTTATCCAGGTTAAGGTTTTGGGGCTGCTTGGAGTTATATATTCCTTGGCGCAGTATCTAATTTCCAGACAACAATATCTGTCAGGGTTGAAGTATATTTAGAGACGAGGTTAGTTACACTCTTAACTCATCTTCTTCTTCTTCTTTACAGTGTGTTATGAGATTTTTTTTGGAAGTAAGATTTTGACTTAATTGATTCAGAATATTCTCTGGTCATTGCTATATAAGCTGTGGATTAAGTGTAAATTATATCTTGTGTTCTTGCCTTGCCTGTGTTTGTTCTGATCTATTATTCATCTAATTGGGAGATAACTCACTAAATGGACAAGGAATTTTCATACACACATATATAATATGGGTGTCTAATACACATAATATGATATGATAATATGGGCAGATGATGATGGAATTATTGGGCTTTGTTTGGTTTTGATTTGAAATTGGAGTTTTGATTTGACATTTTATTTAGATAGTGTTTTGATGTTATATTCTGTTAGAGGAAATATTGTATTTTTCTAGTATTTTAATGTGATCGTATTGTAAGAAAAGATATTGTATTTTTACTGAAATTGTGCCAAAACAAACACACGTATGGTAGGCTACAACATGCAAATATTTTTGTGAAGGGTCATATTTCTGTACAGGCATACGAAGGTTTGAATTTGGGTTTGATAGTAGTGTTTAATCTTATTTAGATATATTTTTAATCTCATACTTTGAATAAAAAAATTATTTATTTTTTGGTTTGATCTCCTAGTACAAGACCAAAATTATAGTTTAAAGAAAGATAATTGCATTTCTGAGTGTTGTGTGTTATATATATACACACACTCCTGAATAGGATGTAATAAAGGTAAACAAATATTGAATAAAGGGTAATAAGTTGAATAGTAAATTTCCAATTGAACTTAATAGCTTCAAAATTAGATGCAATAATACAAGTCTAAAAATATGTACTTGAACTCATGATCATATTATAAATATATATATATATATATATTTATCAATGCCCAAAATGTTGTATATTAAATAAATGTGTGCATGTATGTATATACTATTTGCTTGATCTCACCTTAAAATTTCAATCGGAACATAATACATTTCACGTTATTGATGCCAAATTTTAAAGAAAGATAATACATGAGTATGTTTACAGACGTGTGACGTGTTGCATATGTTTCTTTACGTACTAGTTATACAAGTTATTATTTATTTATTTATTTTCACAATTTCTATATATCTACATATTATAAAATTTCTTATCAAAATTACTCTTCACCTATATATATACTACCTAAACTCAGCTGCAATTTCAACAAACTAGCAACCCCTTGCAACAAGACAACCAGCAGTTACAGTTTGAAGAGGGATTTGAATATCTCATGAGAGGTAGGGTAGGGTAGGGTAGGGTAGGTTAGGTAGACTTCCCATTTGGTACAATCTTGAGAAGCTCAATATCAAACAGAAGAGTTTTATCGATCAAACCCTGGTTCCTCAATACAAAATCCAGAGCCCTTTGCCCCTGTCAACATAAACCATTCATTCATTCATCACAATTCACAACTCACTTCACTTGGATGCATCAAACAATCTATCTCCAATTACCGAAAACGTAGTTGGCCTTGGACCTTTCTTGTTGTAGTCGTTCTCCGGGTATCCTAGTTCCGGAGGGACAATAATCCTAAAACACACTCTCATAGAATCTCAATTTGCTGTTACTCGACAAGCATGTGCTTAGATAGAAATAAACATTTGATGGATGATATGTTGTTGTTACCTTCTTACGCCACCAAGAGCCATGCCCGATACAGCCTCCTCGAAAGCAGGTATAACCTGAAGAACAGGGATTACGGAATTCAACAGCATGCAAAACCTTGCCTTACAAATTTAAATGTGAGGAATGATCACACCACCTCTTGTGATCCTAATCTGAACTTGTAGAAATCTTTATCCTCGCCCTGCAAAAACAGATTCCTGTGACAAAACTTGGAAGGGGAATCTGCACAGATTATGTATAATTTGAAATGGGAATACCACAAAGGAGCCGCCCTTTGTCTTGTTGCGAGCTTCGAAAATCCGGCCATAATATCCGATTGTGTAGCCATCCCAATCAATCTAGCAGCATCATTGTCAGGTTGACCTCAATATTATTTTAGGGTTTCTAAATAATATCACATGATATAAGATGGGTACATTCGACATTTGTGAATGCCAAGGTCAAGAGCGAAATATGTGTACATATGTAGTCCATTTTTATACCAACTGGAACTACCAAATTTGGTTTTCGGAAAATTTCATACCAATCTAAAGAATCTAGTCATTCAACCTATAGATATAATGGGCTTACCACTACAGTTTCACCGGTATTTGGAGTGGGGCCGGTTCCTACTCGTAAGTCCTGAGAGTTTTGTGTGCATTGGATTAACAACAAGGTTACAGATGCAGGATACTGAACAAATAGACTTACTAAAAATGGGTTATTAAAAGATGACCTTATACTGGAGACCGGAATTAGTTTCAGTATAATCAGGATACCGCATCTTTGTCTTGCCATAATCCTTTCCCCGCAGTGCTGGCACTGTATGCTCAAACAGTGAGCCTACAATTAGTCTTCAAAGCCACTAAACTGCACATAATAGTGAGAATTATACAAAGAACCCACACCCATCTCCTATACAAGTATCCTTAGGATAAGATTAACTACAGCACCAGTAAAAATTATAAATGGTTTGTGACAATTTGATAACTATAAAGCATGCTTATTTCCTACATTGTATTTCTATCTACAAATTCTGTGAAAACCTTGAAAGTTTTCAAAATCCAACTTCCATTCAAGTCCTCTTAATGATAAGCCATAGAAACAAATCTTTATGATGCCACTGACCTCTTGCATGTACAATAAAATATCACAGCACATGTTAAACATCTAACTTCTTTAACTTGTAATTTATATCACAAGTTCATGTATGAAATGACCATTTCACAGGGCAAGAATCCAACCGAGGATAACACTATCCGTCTCCGGTCCCTATAATGGTTTGCTTGTTTGTTATTCATCCTTTACAATGCCTGTAATGGTTTGGCTATTATATTCAATTAACTCAAAATATGGTATTTGATTAGTTATCTCATCATACACTATGTAGGCTAATGTGTGAACATGTAATTATAAACTGCATGTTAGGGAGAAGATCACATCACCTGGTCTGATTGCATATTGGCCTCTTGAACAGGTTCACATTTTGGTGATATTATTTGAGTACAAGATCATTTGTTTTCTTTCAAGTGCAAATGTTAATACAGCAACCGTATTGTACACTTTTCTGTGACCATAAGTTACTTGATTATTCAAGTTAAACAGCGCAACAATATTATGGTTTACCGGATCTTAACATCCAGTTTAATCATTTCATGTGTATGATATTGTTTACAAATCAAGCCAAGCACCAAAGCATGCTCTTCATCATTTCACACGTATTGAATAGCTAAATGTTCAAAAGAGCAATTCAAATTAAATCCTAATTCCGTTGAAGTCATTAATAACAATAGCATTCCAAGAGTAGGCAGAGGTTGAGGTTATAAATTTATTGCTCCCTTCTTAAATTGTTAGATGGGTTGTTGAACCTCAACTCGGCAGTTCATACAAACTTGAACTCAAGTTCTATAATCTCTGTCAAGCTTGAGCTCTATATTTCATGGAACATGTAAACATCAAGCTCGGCACCCAAAATATTGTCAGACAAGCCGAAGTAACTTAAACAAGCTATTTATATTATGTTAAACTCAAGCCCAATCTAACTTATTCTCAAGCATCAAAACGAATGAGTCAAATTAGACCTGGCTGATTTTTATTCATAGAAGGACTTCATTGTTTGCTTGTTTGTTATTATCATTTACAATGCCTACGATGGTTTTGCTATTATATTCAATTAACTCAAAAGATGGTATTTGATTATTTATCTCATCACACACTATGTAGGCTAATGTGTGAACATGTTATTATGTTGTCACGAGCATTCACTGAGCAGAGTTGCTGATAGACCGAATATCGAAAGTTAATATGCTCGACTTAATATACAATTCTAAGTTCTAACCTAATTTATGCAGGAACATTATGCCAAGAATACCGAATATTAACTGATAAATAAGATCTTAATAGGGAAGGGGAAATTACTATCAGCAAATTTGGATGAATCGGAAGCTTCACTTCGTTGGCTGCTTAAAATTGCCGCCGCCAATAATCCAACCGAGGATAACACTATCCGTCTCCGGTCAATCAGCGGCGTATGCTCCAAATTTCCATTACTCGCTTCAATTCAGCAAACAAAATAAAATTTAACGCAAAAACAAACTTCAGCAAACGGAGAAAAAAAAACAAAAAATTGCTCACACCGACCAGAAGATGTTGACAACTCCACTATGGAACTCCGACAAACTATGCGGCGGCTGGAAAATGCATGCGGTGGCGGACTCACTGCAACCGACTTCGCCGGAAAATGCTTCGAAAGTGCTCCGACGGCTGAGATTGAAGCCATCGTTTTTGAGAATGCAACAAACCTTCTTCAGCCTATCGAGTGGATTCTAGAAATGCTCCGCGGGAAGATATCGACCTCAGCTTCTTCTTATAGCAACCGCCACTGCAAATGACAATTCTACCCTCAACCTTATGGGACTAAAAAAAATAAATATTTTAAAAAATTTAATGAAAAATTAAATAGATTGAAGAAAAAATTACAGTAGTATTTGACTGACAAAGGTCAAATATATTTATATTGAGGCGGTAGATATTATTGTAAAATATAAAATTGAGATCACATAAATTACTGTGCGACCAGTTAAAGGGCGCTAAATTTTAGCTAATTTATTCTATTTAGATAAGTAACGAAGTGTTAGATATCGTGTAATTAATTAAGAAATATATTGATAAAAATAATTATAATTTAATAAAAATAATTTTAAATTAAATTTTAAATTATTATAATTTAATTAAAATAAAAAAAATTAGAAATTACGAATTTTAAAATATTATTAAAATGTATAATTATATTCCAGAAAAAAAAAAGACAAATTAGATTGGACGGACATAAATAAAAATAATAGACAAATTAAATTATAATATTATAGTATTAATAATTTTATTTAATATAATAAATTAATTTAATAATAATTTTATTATATAAAATAATTTATATAAAATGTAATTTTATTTTAAATTTTATAATTATAAATTAATTATTTTTCTAAAAATATATTTTATTAAATTTAAAAAATCATAGTATAAAAATATAATTTATATAAAATAAAATAATAAATTTATTGATGAAAAAAACATAAGAGAAATTTAGGGAACGTAAAATTCGTTCTACAATGTGAGTACAAATTTGCATTGATTATTGTTGAGTTTTTAGTTTGATTTGGCATGTTGTGACGGAGAGAGAAAGACTCAGGAGAACGTTAAACGTACATGTTTGCATTGAACATGGTCTAAAAGGGGACTTCAATTTTGATTTTAATTTTATTTATTATTTTATTTACTTTTCTTCAATTTTGATTTTAATGTTAATTTTATTTATTATTTTATTTACTTTTTTATATTTCAAAATTTGTGTGGTATTCCCTAATACCTCTACCTCTGCAATTTATATTTATTAATATATTTTGATATATCAATAAGACGAATAAAAATGAAAATATGAAAATGGTGTGAATTACAGTAAAACGGAGGGAATATATAATATATATTTATTGAAAGATATATATAAATCAAAACCAAAATCAAGCTTCTACAGCAATGGCGGATGGTACATAGGAAAGCCACACCACACCACACCACACCAAAAACCTTAGAATGTATTTCACTACAACCACACGAATTCTTACATCATAAGTACTGGCTTGAAGCCCAGTTCTTTTATTTTAACTCATCATCCTTAGGAATAGTCGAAAAACATTCGGCATTTACCGGCTAACAAGGTTGAGTGCATTGGCCTTCTCTTGCAGGGTGTCGAGCAAGCTGTCGAAGCTTTTCTTGAAGGAGTCGACTCCTTCCACCTCAAGTTGTGTGCCCACCTCCCCCCAATCGATTCCCAGCTTCTCCAGAGCACTGTAAATTCCTTCAGCTTCCGACACATTAGAGTCTATGGTCCTTCCAACAGCGCCGTGGTCAATAAAAGCTTGAAGCGCCTGATCCGGCATTGTCGAAACCTACAAGAACATGGATGGATACCGACAAAATAATTATTACCTACGTTATTATTATGAGTAATATTTAAGTTGATGGAAAAATCTACTGTTCTTTACAAAATAAGCATAAGTTTTGCAGGTAGATTTAAATAAAAACTACGAATAGGGATTTACACACTTTCGATATTTTAAACACTATTCATCAACAATAATTTTTTCCAACAAATGAATTTACATCAAATACTTTCTTCCTATTTTCAAAATTTTACAGAACTCCGAAACCTCCAAAGCTTCTATTTAAATCTAGCCTTAAGTTTTGCGGGCAGATTTTTAAATGAAAACTAAGCTTAAGGCACATTTGGATTTTTTTTGGCACTATTCATCGACGGTAACTATTTCAAAAAATATCTTATCAAATATTTTTTTTAGCATAAAACCTCACGTCAAATACCTAACTTTTCACTATTTTTAAAATTCTACAAAAAAAACTCGGTAACTTCTAAAGCTTCTATGTAAACAAAGGTTTTGCTGGCAAATTTAAATGAAAAGTAAGCATAAACTTTTTTAGAGGGAGAGTAAAAATAGTACTCCATCCAACATGTAAAAGTATGCCCATTTGATCGGGCACAAGTTTTAAAAAAAGTGGGTAAAAATAGAAACTTTTTTCTTTTATAGTAAAGAAAAAAGTTAAAAAATGTAGTATTTATTTACTAAAAATGAAATCGGAAATAAGTTTGGATGACAACCAGAAAAGGAAAGTGAATAAATTTGGATGATAATAATTGAAGAGCATAAGGTTATGTGCGGGATGGTTTGAGAATGATTTAGTTCTTCTTCTTGGACCACAGATTCGAAACAAGACGAAAAATAAAGAGATAAGAAGATAACTCACAGTGTCGGGACCAATGAGTGGAGCCACATATAGTGTGTCCGGATAGGCTGGATTCTTGACGCTAGTCGACGCCCACAGAAGCCTCTGCTTCTTCGCTCCTTTCTTCACCAGAGCCTCCCATCTCGGCCCCGAGAATTTCTTCTGGTAGAGTTTATAAGCCAGAGCCGCTTGGGCGTTTGCAGCCTGTGGAAGAAGATTAAAAGATATAAGAGGCGCGGCCGGCGATTTAGTTAGGTGTTCGAAGGAGTTCTGTATTGCGGATTACCTTGCCCCGGAGATCAAGTGCCTCCGGTGTTCCAATTTTCTCAAGAAGTTTGTCGACGAGGGTGTCTACACGGCTGACGAAGAAGGACGCAACACTAGTTACGCGAGAGAGATCGCTCAGCCCGGATGCCTCGAGACCGTCCAGGTAAGCATCGATCACTGCTTCGTATCGAGCGAGAGAGAAAATGAGCTGCACATAACCAAAGTAACATTAACAAATGTTTTCTCGAAATTTCAGAGTCAAAATATATAGGGTGTGTTCGTTTATGGGATTTTCCCAAAAATCTACAATTCACAGGATATTTTTTCCCCAAAAATATCAAATCAAATACTTATTTTTAATTTATTATATTATAAAAAAATCAATTTAATATTCAAAACATCACATCAACTTATATTTATATCACATCATACAACTATTCCAATTCAAAAAATTTTCCATTCAAATATCAACTCAGAATCCAAAACCCCCAAACAAACACACCCTATAATAGGAAATGATAAAACCATTTTGGAACATATCCGTAAGATGAAAGGAGTGACAAATGAACTTACCGTAACATTAACGCTTATTCCATTCGCAATTACTTCCTTGATCGAAGGGATGCATGGAGCTGTGGCAGGGATTTTAATGTAAACATTAGGACGATTAACCCATTGGTGAAGCCACTTTGCAGCCTTTATTGTGTTATGAGTATCGTCTGCGAGTTTGGGCGAAACTTCCACGGAAACATATCCATCAGCCCCGTCTGTTTGATCGTAAATTGGCTCGAAAAGTTTGCATGCATCCTGGATATCTTTCACCACAAGCTCCCAGTAAGCACTTTCGATATCTTTCCCAGATTGCACAAGTTCCCTGCAGTACACATAGTAATAGATTAAAGCTCGTTATGGAAAAATCATCACAAAACTGTTGAAAATTTTTTACAATGCCAACAATCTAATAAGGCCTTTGTTTACACAATTATCATTTAAGACAATGTATTAAACACACCCTAAGAGTATTTTTTTATTTTATTAAATCTGAGTCTACCAGAAATGTGAATAAGTCGAACTACCTTAATGAGTTCAATTAAATACGGGTTTGAAAAAATGTTTTGAAGAAAATGGCGAAAGGTTAACAATTACTGAAGATTTAGGACAAGATATACTTTATAGAACCTGAAAGTAAACTCAAAATCAACCGTAGCTCCAGTAGCTACAAAATTAGAAACATGTTTATCTATTTTCTCCTCGATTTAGGATTCAAGTACATTGAAGAAAATGTAGCAATGTCGGCGCTATACCGACATTGAAATGTCCCTTAAATTGAGTAAAAAGGTTTTCAGGAAGCTAAAAGACAAGTGCAATGCTCTATCAATAGAAATATTGAACGATTAGGCGCAAACATGAGAAAGAAAATGACAGTAGCTGAAATGAAATGTTGATATTGACAAGCACACCTAATAATCTAGATAGAGTAAAGAGCGACTACATTAGAACAAAAAGTGCTGGTGTGAATAGGTGAAACTTTCGGGTAGGAAAGAACCAAATAGGAATCCTCCGAATTGGCAGAAAACAGAAAGGAACGTGATTAAAATGATCTGATCTGATCATATAATACATACAAAACCCAATAGATTCTAGGGCCTCTATTCTTTTGAAATTAGATTTTGGTATTTTTACTATGTAACCATCATCACTCCTTATAAAAATAAACTATTTCCTCTATTTGAACATCAAATCTAAACCATTATTCAAACCAAAAGGCAAAACCAAACTCCAAAAGAACACCCTAGATGCCCCAATTCTGCCTGTAAGTAAAAGATAATTCCGAGTTAACATTGAATGGCTAAAGTGAAGTAATCGAAACTACAGGAAGGAGTTCATAGAATAGATGTTACATTTGAATTTACATAAGACTACGACAACAAAGATATTCCAATCTTCCGATAAATGATTGATGATGATTACATGGTCAGCCAGCGCAGATTCGAGAAATCAAAACACACAAATTCAGTTACCCGAAAACAAACCCTATCATCCCTTTACCTGAACTGATCATTGTAAGCACTCGAGGTAGATATTGCCTTCTGAAAAATCTGCAAATCACAGTTTAAAATCATTACAGAAAATTGATCCATATACAAATTTCATTTCTGCTTCACCTCAAAAAAACAGGAGCATAATGATTATAAAAAGAATCATCAACTAAATGAGAAAGATCAATTTTACCGCAGGGTTGCTGGTTACACCCCTGACCCCACTTTCGATCAATGGAATGAGATCTGTAACTGGCCTGCATAGATTATCATACCACGGACTCTGCCCTTCCTTCTCATAAAGATCGTGAAGAGTTGTCCTCTTGATGCTACTTCCATTTCCATCAGCTTTTGAGCACCTAACACTGAGCAATAGCTTCGAGATTAAAAACGAGTTATGAAGAGTAAATCCTCGAAATCTAGGGTTTGAAGAAGCAAACCAATCAATCCAAAAATTAAGCACAAATTACACCATGCAATAAAATTTCAAACATATCAGTGAAAAAGGGGGAAAAACAGCAAGGCCAGTAATCGAATAAGCTTACACCAAAGAAACCCTAATCGGCTGATCAGCGCGCACACTCAAATTCATCCTCCTATCAAAAGCCTCGACGTTTTTGCGTAGTCCAACAGAGCAGATCGGGCGGTGCAGAGATCCAGTCTTGGCATTGAAATCGTTGACGGAACGGGTCATAACTGAGCCGGAGAGCTTGGAAACGGTAGCCATGGCCGATCTGATTCTCGATTGTCGCACAGTTCCGCAGATGCCGACAAATATGCAGCGTATGGATATATGTATCTTTGGCTGCCTTCGCGAAGGCGCTGATTTCCTGCGATCGATACCAACGAAGAAGACATTTTTATGGACTTTCTTGATTAATTAATTAGGGTTAAACTGTTGGGGTCAGAAATGTAATAAAATGGCTTTTGAGGAGTTGTTTTTGTTTGACCATTCTCGAAGGAAAGGGCATTTGGTAAAGGGCATTTCTGGAATTTCACTTGTGCAGAAGTTTGGTGAAGTTGTTGGTTGAGTTTATCCAAGTCTCAGAAACACGGAAAAATAAAACTAAAGTAAATGAAATACATACTTAACTATATATATTTTCGTATATTTAAGGCATGTTTTTTTTTTCAAAATTTTAAATTTTTATTATTTAAATTTTGTATTTTTCAAAAAATATATATATTTTTTTTATAAAATATTTTATCATAAATTATTTTAATATTAAATTAAAATTAAAATTTTTTAAACTCATCAAAGAATCACTTAATAAATATAATAAATATGGATATTAAATATTAATAAATTATTTTATAATTTTATATAAAAGTATAAAATATACTCCATGTCCCTGGTCAGATGGCCTTTTAGTGAGGGACATGCGCTTTGTTTTTTTAATATAAAAAAATTATTACTTTTTGTACGTTCAATTATATTTAGATTTTTTATATAATTTTTTGTATCTTATATCCAAAAATTTTATTTTTCAATATAAAAAAATTAATAATTTTTGTAGATTCAATTATTTTTATATTTTTTATATAATTTTTTTACCTTATATCAAAAAATTTATTTTTCTAACAATTTTGTAAAACAAACTTTTAGATAGGTACAGATTAATAAGTTATTAATAATAAATTTTTTTTCTGATCTTTCGAGAAAAAGATTCAAGAGTAGTATTTTTTATTTTAAATATTTTTTGTACAATATCTCAATAAAATATACTCCCCCTCCGTCCACTTACCATGTTTACATATATCTATTTTGGGACGTCCAATTAGAAAGTTAACATTTCATTAAATACCCTACTTTTTTTCCACAAATATTCTTACTTTACATCACATCATTACTTTTACACAAAAAAGTAAGGGTAAAAATGTCATTACACTACTTTTAACTAATCACTATAATTAAAATACTATTATTTCTTAAACACCGCGCCAAAAGTAAAAGTAAACATTGTAAGTGGACGAAGGGAGTATATAATATGAATATCATTTTGTAAATAATAAAATTTTATACAATATAAATTATTTATTTATTTAGAATTATCTTATAAAAAATGAGAAGTTTTAAAAATATAAATAAAAATAAAATAGTTTTGAATAGATCCTACGTATAAAATGTTAGAAATTTAATTAAATTGATTTATAAATGTAGTATATTTCAATATACACATGCGAACTTTTACAATATAAAAATGTATTCATCCAAAAAAAAAAAACAATTGACCGATTTTTCAATTAATATTAGTAAAATATCCTACCTTTGTCCGGCTTTAAGGGTCTCATTTATTTTTTACGTATTAATCTTTAAATATTGATTATTATATCAAAATGTAATCCAAATTAAAAAAAAAATTACAAAAATATTTTCATTAGTATCTTATAATACTAATATAAGGAAATTTATAAAAAAAATTATACAAATATAAGAATATTTTTAATGTTAAGCGCAAAAGATAAATATGACACTTAGAGACGGACGAATTGAGTATAATATAATATTTTATATATTTATAAAAGAATTACAATTCAACAAAAAATACGATATTTCTTCATATTTAATATACAAAATATTTTAAATTAAAATACAAAATAAATACTCCATTCGTCCCACATAATTTGTCCCTATTTTCTATTTTCGTCCTTCTCACCTAATTTGTCCTTTCTATTTTTTGAAATATAATTATGCACTTTAATCGAATTTTAAATTTTAAATTTTATAATTTTCTTAATTTTAATTAAACTATTAATCTTAATCTATAATTATGTTTACTAAATAATAGTTATTTTTACTAATACACTTCTTCTTACGGATGGAGTACTAAATTATTTTATTTTGAATATTGAATAGGCTTATATTCTACCTATCAAATATAAAATACTTTTTTTGCATTATTTTGTTATACTTTTTATTTGTGTTTTTTTATATATATAAATTATATTTAAAAAAATAAAATGACGAAAATTATGAAAATCTTTTTATTATTTTTATTTTTTTAAAAAGAAAAAAAGATTTAAAACTTAAATAGTAGTATTAAGTAATGGCGAGCATGTGCGGTTCCATTGACATTGTATTAGTATTAGGCAATTTACGTATAGTATGTGTTCTAGAAGATATAGATTTCTTTGTTCACACTGTTTTCTATTATACACACTTTATTTTATTTATAAAAAATTAATATTTAATATAAAATATTATTTTTATTATCGATAGGATTTTCTATATTTTAAATAAAATAGGATTTTCTATATTTTAAATAAAAAAATATGTATCTTGTTTACTTTGCAACAGTTTGCTCGGAATTAGGGATGAATATGATCATTCCGTTTGTTTGTTTGAATTTGGAATTTTATCAGATTTGAATCATTTCAAATATAATTGCAAATATAAAATTACGATTTTTTTTATATATTTTTAAATTATAGTATATTTTATTTTTATAGTTTAATTATAATATTAAATATATAATAAATAAAATAAGTATATTAATATATAATTGATATTTTTGAATTTTCTTTTTTCTTAAACGTTACATTTTATTAAAATATCTAAAAAATATAATAATAAAATATATTATATATTATATTTTAGATTTGTTTGATTTTTTAGTATACTCATTCAAAAATGGAATTATCCTGTGATAATAATAAATAGTGTAATATATTAATTTCAAATTTTATGGATAAATATATTGGTATATTTTGAAAAAAAATATATATATATACACTCTAAATTTTGATTTGATTCAGATCATATATTCGATATTAGATATTATCCTCATCTATATTTAGAACTTATATTGTGGCAATCTTAATAAAAATATTTGAAATTTTGAAAATTTGTAAAATATCAATTAAAAAAATAGTTCAAATTTATCAATGCTAGTGTTAATAACGAACATCAATCAATCTAAAAATAGTGTAATTTTTTCAAAAATATCTCCTAAATACCTTTTACTTAGTAAAACTTCAAATCGAATATTAATTTGTTATTATTTTCAAATTTTCAAAATTATAAAACTTTATAAAAATCTCTATCTAAATACAATCTAAAAAATAATTTAAAGATAAAATAATTTTCTCATAAGATAGTTAAATAAATATATAAAAAAAATTAAAAATTAAAATTTTCATAACTAAAGCTAAAAACAAATAGTTGAAACTCAAAAATCAAACTAAGCTCAACGTTTCAAAACAAAAAAAAAAAAAAAATGTGAAAAGAAGTTCCAAAACCAATTCGAATAATTCATTCATTCATTCTTCTTCTTCTTTTTCTTCTTCTTCTTCGTCAAGATCAGTCGTTCTTTGGCCAATAGTCTTCTTCAAAACCAATTCGTTCGACTTTTTGCTTTCTTCGACGTCGAATTGTGAGAATTCGATCTCGTATTGGCTTAGGAAGGCAATCAGCTCCTTGCCATTTAATTTGCCTATTTTGTAGATTGGAATCAGATCAGATTCAGAATTTTTTTCTTCTTCAAAATCAAGTAAGTCCGAGACAATGGACGATTCCATGGCACTGGATTTGTACATCTTTAATTCTTTGCCGTCGAAATTCCTTAAAATTTTAAAATCAATTTTTTTGGTAGTCGAAGAAGATGCCCCCATTGCAGCAGTTTTGAAAGTTTGAGAATATTTTGAAATGGTGACTACAAAATACAATATATATATATATGTAATTTCAAATTTCATTATATATGAAAGTAGGATTCTGTTGAGATATTTTAATTATTTATCTTATAATTTCTATTAAATATTAATTATTTTTATTATTTGAGTATATCAATTAGATTAGTTGAGTCTATTGAAATTTATAATATTTTATTTTAATTATGAATACAATATAATTTTTAAATATATAATATACAAAAACGTGATTAAATTGGACCATATTATGCCTATTTTATTAAATAATAATAATAATAATAATAATAATAATAATAATAATAATAATAAAATAGTATATAATTTTTTAAAATAAACTTATTTTTTAGTCGAAATATCGTACATCATAATTAGCTCAAATATAAAAATTCATACATAATTTGAATAATAACAATAATAATAAAAAGAGACTGTTAAAAGGGAAAAATCAATCTAAAAAACTAGCAAATAATACTACAAATTTTTAAATAATTTAAATACAAAAATATTGCATGTTTAATATTTATTCAGATTCGATTTCGGTATTTTATATTTTTTCGATTTATCGAATCGAATAGAATATATTTATATTATTGACTGCGATTAAAGTATTGATGGAGTCAAATCAACACCGCTGATTTAACCTGTTAGCAAAGCAAATACAATTAGTAATTCATTATAAACAGATAATATATTATCAAATAACATGAAAGTATATGTTGTGTTGATATATATTATGTGTTGATATATATTATATTAATATTTTCTACTTTCAGGTGAGTTTATTTTGAAAGACTGTATTAAAATACTAGATTATTATAATGGATTATATACTCAATGAATTAATTAATATAATGTTTACTTTGTGTGATTTAATATTATATAAAATTATATTTTATTTAGGGCGTGTTTGTTTGGGGGTTTGGATTTTGAATTGAGATTTGAATAGTAAAAATTTTGAATTTGAATAGTTGTATGATGTGATATAAATAGGTGTTGATGTGATGTTTTGAATGTAAAATAGATTTTTAGTATAATGTAAAAAATGAAAAATAGGTGTTTGATTTGATGTTTTTTAGGGAAAAAATTGGATAAATAGTGTAAATCCAATCCAATCCCCAAACAAACACACCCTTACTTTATTTTTTTATCGCGTGTGAATCGGTAGCTACCCGAAAGTAGGTAAATGATATGATATAATTATTTTTTCTTACCCAAAATATATTTAATAATGTTATTATAAATTATTGTAATATAATTTACTTTATATAATTTTTTTTTTATTTTTAATTATAGTAATATAATACTCTCTCAATCACAACTTAAAGTATCATTTTAAACATTTTGCTCTGTCCCACTCCAAATATTTATTTTTTATTTTAATAAAAATAATTATACATTAATTCCAAAATACCCATAACTTTTACCTAAATCATTAGACGTATAATTACTTTCTACATAAAGTAAAAGGTCAAAATGTCAAAATATATCACACTTTCATTAACTAATAAAATACTTTTATTTTTTAATTTACTAAAAACACCAAGTTCAACCCCTGCACCACTAACCCACTAGCCCATCCCTTGCGGAGACAGTATATGTTTGATATTGTGTGTTGTCAACCTTAGCAAAAACACACTAAACATTTTTTCGATCCACAAAATCATAATATACATAAATTTCTACAGGTCCCAAATTCATAACCAACCAAACTTTACAAACTCTTCTCAATATAAAGCAAATCGGGAACACTACAAAGCTACTAATTGGTGCCATTATCAAGAAAATCATCCCACAACATGAGTTCAATGTTACCTAAACCCAGATACCTTTCCTCAATCTTGTCGATGACGACTACGACGGAGGCATTGCATTTCCGTGCAAGTAGAATCGAATTTTCGAGCTCGTCCTCGACACAACAAAACGATTAGTCTCAAGTTGTGTTTTATACATCACCATGGCTTTAGGTCTCCGATCGGTCCTGCCGTCCAATTCAGAACTTTCTCGCCCGGCTTCAAGAATATCCTCTTGTCGTGTGGCAATTTACGCGCGAGCCCGTTTAAAATCTGATGGAAAGCGTCGCCGGGTTGCGCCGGTTGGGGGAAGAGCATAGCTTGTTTCATCGATGGATTCGCCAGCAGCCTTTGTTTCCTAAGAACTTCGTCAACGGGGATGGATGTGAGGATAGTGTCCAAGTACGGGACGTCTTTCTCGGCTACAAAAACTCCGATTTGCTCCCACGGAATAGCATCGGCGAATGGAAGCACGATGTCGTCAGCTATGATCACGGGAATGCAGCCAAAGATCACAGCTTCGACGAGTCGCGGACTCCACGGCGCCCAGCCGAGTGGGCACAAACAGAAAATTGCTCGCTGCATGTCCTCGTAATACGTCGTTGGATGATCCGTCGAAATGTCGAACAGCGGGTTGTTCTTGAAGTTCTCCCATATCGACGCCCTCGCGCCCCTTTCAATCCAAACAAAATCCATCGAATACCATCAAGAACACAATTTCTATAAGCAAAAGAGAGTATGCAAAAATAAGTTTTCAGGTGAAACGGTTATTTAATATCATATCAGAATTGGGACGTTTCATGTGTGTATTCGAGTTTTACCGCCGCTCATTCATTATCGTCCACATGCTTGACTGAGGGGCGTGTTGGTAATATATAAATAAACGATCAACTCTTTAAAGTTCAAATTTTTAGAGGTAAAATTGTTTATAACTCCCTTGTGGTTTCGTAAAATTCAGCTTAAAATCTCTTTGTACTTTAAAAATTGCAACGACGCTCCTTCCTTTATACTTTAAAAACCTTCACAGGAAACCCCACCGCCATGAAAACTTCCTTGTATGATGAGAAGATGATTTCTTATTTATATTTTTTGCATGACAGAGAGGTTTCATGCAATACTTTTGAAAGTATAAGACGACGCCATACAATTTTTAAAGTAAAGTGGAGATTTACGCTGAGTTTCAAAACCACAGAAGGGTTTCATAACGTTTCTATAAGTATAAGAGGGCATCATGCAATTTTTAAAGTAAAATGGAGATTTACGCTTAGTTTCGAAACTACAAAAGGATTTCATACAACGTTTTTAGAAGTATAAAAAGGGCCATGCAATTTTTAAAGTAGAGAAATTTATATTGTGTTTCGAAACTAAAAGAGAATTATGGACAATTTTGTCATTTTCAGATTAGATAATAATTTAATAGAGATGAAATACGAATGCCTCTACCTCGCGTAGTACCCGCCTTCGGGATCATTGTTCACGTCGTAAAACAAACCGCGGAAATACACAAAGATCGATCGAGGCACGTCGGGAGGGATCAAATGCGACTGCATTTTCTCCGGCGGAGCGTACGGAGGAATTGTGATCGAACCTTCGTCTAAACAGACATGGTTGCGCTGTCCGAAAGTCTGCACCAACGTAGCGCGGCGGAGAAGGGGAAGTATACCTCGTTTAATAGCTTTCTCTTCCTGCATCAATGGCGGAAACATCATTCAACAACAAATTAACCCAATTCCAATCAATCACATCAAAGAAGGCTGCAATAAAATCAAAATCTCACTTGATAATGAAAACAAGCTCCGAAATCGTGAGGCACGAGGAAGAAATGATCGGCGCCTTCCGTCCTGTTCCAGAACGGCCACCTGGCGGAGATGAGCTGAATGGCGCTGCGCATCATCCTCGGCGATTTGAATGGCAGCGGCAAGCCGTTGGGGGCGAGGTCACAGGTGGCGTACACAGGCGTGTAGAACCAATCGGCTTCCTGTGGATTCATCGTACGGACGGGGCTGGATAAGAGGAACTGGTGCATAAAAATCTCGGCGGCGAACATGTGCGTAAGGCATCGAGGATCCTTCTGCAACACCTTCTTGTTGTACTTGCTCGGGAGTTCGTAGACGTAAACTTTCAGTTTTCCGACGGGATTGTCCTCAAGAACATCGCCGGCGCTGCCTGCAGACATCAACAGGAAGAAATTTAGGTTATTTTGAAAAAGAAAAAGTAGCACGGGCATTTTGTCGAACAGGTGGTGGGCGAAGATGGGGGAAGATAAAATTACCGGAAATTCTCTCGGTAGGCACGGCGGCGCGTTGGATTGGCGGCGCTGCACGCGCCGCGGCGAGTAAGAGGAGCGGGAGGAGGGAAAGAGCCGCGGCGGCGAACCCCATGGATGGTTGTTGAAGGTCCTCGGATTGGAATTGGATTGTGGGGTATATTTGAAGAAGGGGGTTTTGTGTGTATGTATGGATGAATGTGTGCTGTTGGTGAGTCGTGGTAGGATGTAGGTGGAGAGTTAGTTCCGTTTCTTCCCTTGGCAACGAAGGCAGCCATTAAATAGGATGGAGAATTCTGAATTTCCATAGATGCATATACATATATGTGAATGACGACGCAGCAACAAAAATTGGCATAACGTGGACAGAGAATGGGTTAATTAAATCCAAATTGGATTGGGATTGGGATTGAAGTGGTTAATCATAGATTGGATCGTCGAATCCATCAATGGTGGGTGGAAACTGGAACGATGAAAGTGCAGGTGCGGTTGAGTTTGATGGGAAGTCACTTCAGAGGCAGAAGGAGAAGCAGAAGCGAATGAATTGTCTGTCTCTTCTTCTTAACGCACCGTCAAGAAATGCTTGTTTATTAGTTTATGTTACGGATGTGTTGTTTGCGTTTAGTTTTTGAATTTGAATTTTTAAATATTAAAATATTAAATTTGAACATTGATATAATATAAATAAATATTATATTTTAAATATAAAATAAATTTATAATATAATATAAAAAAATTAATGATTTAATATAATATTTCTAAAGAAAAACAAAAAAAATAATATACGCTATGATTTTGTTTGGTACCCTTAATTGAATTGAATTTGTATAGGTATGTTGTCGTGACGACGACGTTTTAATGGAAATAATTATTTAATACTTTAATATTTTTATTAGAAATAAAGATACAGAGAATTTATTTGTTTAATATTTTAATTTGAAATATTTTCTGAAATATAAAAAATTATATTATAATTTAAAAAATATTTCCTATATCTCACTTGAATATATATATTTTTAAATTTTATTGTTGATTAAAAAAAAATATTTTATTATTTGTTGGAAATATAATTTTTTTTATATTTTTGTTATTTAATTTTATATACTTTTTCCATCCTTTAAGTAGATATTCTTTTGTTTTTTATAGAAGTTTAAGGGATATTAATATTATATTAATAATATAGTAGGAATAAAGTAAAAATGACTAAAATAATTTTATTAGTATTATTTGATATAAATATAATGATATTTGTGTAATATATTATAAGTTGTAAGAGTATTTATAATGTTAATAGATAGTATAATTACTATAAAAATGAAATCAATACTTTGTTATGAAACATATCAAAATGAAAAAATGAATAGTTTGTTAAAGGACGGAAGGAGCATAAAGTAATTGTATATTTAATGATATATTTATAATTTAAATAAATTAAATAGTATTTTGATATTATTGTATAATTTTTTTATTAAAATAAAAAATAAATATTTTTTAATAAGACAAATAATACTTTGAATTAAAGCATTAATATTTTATGTTAAATAATAACTTTTTTATGAAATGTTAAAACATATATTTATATATGGGAAATAGGGTTAGAAAAAATTTGACTGCTCAAACAAATATATTTAATTTATGATCTACTTCCTCCGTCCGGCTAGAAAGTATACATATTTCTATTTTGGGATGTCTAATTACAAAGTAAACATTTCATTAAATACATTACTTTTTTTCACAAATACCCTTACTTTACATCACATCATTACTTTTATACCAAAAAGCAAGGGCAAAAATGTCATTACACTACTTTTAACTACCCACTACAATTAAAATACTATTATTTCATAAACACCGCGCCAAAAGTAATTGTATACCTTATGAGTGGACGGAGGAAGTATTTGGTTAGATTATGATTCTTTGGATGTGATTTAAAATTAACTAGAAATTAGAAATTGAGTATTGATTTGAATTTTATTTAATTGGATTTTAATATTACATTTTAAAAATAATTTATTTTAATCAAAAATTTTGTTAAACGAATAGTGATTTTTTAAAAAAAAAACTAAAAAAATAGATATAATTTTGAGTTTGTCCACTCAATTTTTTTTTGTTACATTTTTTTATAAATATTAGCACTATGCTAAATTTTCAACTCAATACGCGTTATATGTACATACAACACATTATTATTACATACAATATGTTGTGTATAATAAAGATGTGTGCTTTTTTTTTTTGTAATAACAAGTGTGCTATATAAGAGTATGTTATGTTCTAAAATCAACTATTGCGAGTGTTGTTAGTTAATATGTTGTATTTGTATTATATTAACATATACAATATGCTGTGTAATAATACTGTGTGTCCCACAATGTGCTTTTGAGACTATAGCATGTGTTTTTTGTTCGTATGATTTATTTGTATTATATTAACATTACTATATGTTGTATGTAGTAATACTGTATGCTGTCAAACAACACACCATGTGTTGTTCATCGCGAATTTTTAATTCAGAACTGTAGCCGTCACCGTATATATATATAATATACACATGTTAATACAATGTACATAGGGTGTGTTCGTTTATTACATTTTATCAAACTTCTACTATTCACAAAAAAAAAATTCAAAAAAATATTAAATCAAACACTTATTTTTTATTTTTATATTATACTAAAAATTAATTTTATATTCAAAATATCATATGAATATCCATTTATATCATTATCATACAACTATTCAAATTCAAAATTTTTACTATTCAAATTCAAAATCAAAATCCAAACTTCCAAACAAACACACCATAGAATGATATATTTTTTCATTTGATTAATAGTATTAAAAAATTTACACATAAAACGAAATAATATTCTCTTTATCAGACGAAAATAGTATTTATATTTAATTGTTATTTTTATTGAATTATTCAGAAAATATATTGATTTTTTTTTTATTACTTTTTGGGAAAAAATTAATTTTTGTTCTAATATAATTAAGATTTAGCAATTTTGGTTTCAATATTAAAAAATTCATCAATTTTAGTCTCAATATAAATAATTTTAATCAATTTTGGTCCCATTATAAACAATTTCAATCAATTTTGGTCCCACCGTTAAAAAACTAACGGAAATTGCTGACGTTGACATAACGGAGGTGACGTAGCAGTTGTCCTAGAAAATACACAACCATGTTGTTACATGACCATGTATATTTCAGTGTATAATTATACATGATCATATTGTTACACGGTCATGTACAATTATACACGGCCATGTTGTTACATGACCATGTATATTTCAGTGTATAATTATACATGACTATGTTGTTACACGATCATGTATAATTCTACACGGCCGTGTACCTTTATGTTTCGGTCTAAATTTTTATTTTTTTGTTATATTTTTTAATTTAAAATAGTTGATATAGTTAAAATGGAAAAAAAATTAATAATAATCATAATATAATTAAAACGTATCAATTTTAATTCAAATATAAATATTTATCGAGTATGTTCTTTTGGAAGATTTTTTCTAAAATTCTACAATTTAGCAAAAATTCTCTTACAAACATCCAATTACTGTAATGAAATAAATAATTAATTTTTAATACTACTATGATATACAAAATTAAAAAAATAGTTGTGTTATTGGATATTTGTAAGATGAAATTGTTTTATGAATAATAAAATTTTAGATAAAACTTTTCAAAAGAATATATCTTATAAATTTTTATATTTGAATTAAAATTGATAAATTTTAATTATATTATAATTACTATTGATTTTATCCATTTTAACTATATCAATTATTTTAAATTCAAAATATATATTTTTTTTAAAAAAAATAATAGCAAAAAAATAAAATTTTAAACTAAAATAGAAATGTACATGGCCGTGTATAATTGTACATGGATGTGTAACAACATGACCATGTATAATTATACACTGAAATATACAACATGATCATGTATAATTGTACATGGCCGTGTGCTTTCCAGGTCAACTGCCACGTCACCTCCGTCGTGTCCACGTCAGCAATTTTCGTTAATTTTTTAACGGTGAAACCAAAATTGATTGAAATTATTTATAATGAGATCAAAATTGATTAAAATTATTTATATTGATACTAAAATTGATAAGGTTTTTATATTAAAATCAAAATTAATAAATTTTGATTATATTGACAATTTACAAACTTAAATATTATTAAAAGGTAATAGCTAGTGAGTAGCCACCACTACTTCAAATTATGCCAATGTTTTCTAGCAACTGCATTTAAGGTTCGTCTCGTTAATATTTACTTGTACACTTAAGAATGTGATATTACTCTCTCCGTTCCAAAATTTATTGTGTGGATTATATTTGATACGAGATTTAATGAATATTGATATTATATTAATAGTGGATAAAAAAATACAACTAAAAGACTTTTTTGTTCTTGTAAGTGTATTAATGTAAAAAATAGTGACAATTGTGTAATAATAATGAAAGAGTAAGGATAGTTATATAGTGATATAGTTATTTATGGAAATAAGACTATTGTTATGGGACGGACAAAAATAGTAAACAAGACTATAAATAATCAATATCACTATAAAACTACTCTTACTTTTTCATTATTATTACACAATTGTCACTACTTTTTACCCTAATACACTCACAGGGGCAAAAATATCTTTTACTTATATTTTTTTACACACTATTAATATAATATCAATATTTCTTAAATCTCGTGCCCAATACAACCAAGACTATAGTTCCGGGACAAAGGGAGTACTATTGTTAATCATAAAAAATTTAACAAAGTTAAAGTAAAATTTGGACAAAAATTCAAACTTGAATTTTATAATCAAGTATTGAAACTTGACCGACTCAATATTAAGTATGATGTTGTCCATTTTGGACCGAACTTGCATAGATTTATTTTTAAACTCTTCATTTTAGTGGAGTTTATGTAATAAGGGATGAATTTTTCAAATATTCCAATGTGATATTTGAATTTATACTCTACCAATACGAAAATTTTAATTATTTTTTTTTTAAAGTTAATTGAAGAAAAAAATTCATAAGAAAAATAAAGATACACTGGGCTTTGTTCACCAAATAATAATTGCAATTCCTAAAAAATAATAATAAACAATAAAAAATATTTTTTTTATAAAAGTCAAAAAAAAAAAAATTCAAATATTCAATACAAAAAGTTAAAATATTAAAATATTAAATTTAAAATAATATATTTTATATTTTTAAACACAATTTTTCGTATCACATGCAAAAAATTAATTCATCTAAAAATATTTTATGAATGGAGATATGTAAAGCTGTGAAAATTTTTCAAAACATTGCCTGTGATTGAAAATGGAGCACTAAATTTGCTATTGATTTATAAGCGTGTGCGTGTGATTTGAGTTAATTATATTTTTTAAAAAACAATAAATTATGTGAAATAAATCAAAATAAATAATATGCATATTCTACGTAGAAATGAGGGAGTATCAATTACTCTCTCCGTCCCATTGAAAAGTTATCATTTTTTATTTTCGTCCGTCCCAAAACAAGGTTACCATATCTTAATTTAGTAATTGTATACTACTTATTTAATATAATAAATACTCTTTCAACTTACAAAATATTACAAAATGTTATTACTTTTATATTACATCATAGTAATAGGGATATTTTTGTTTTTTTTACTACAATACAATATAATACTAATATTCAAAAATCTACGTGCAAAAAACAAACGTCACTCTTCCAACGGGACGGAGGGAGTATTAAAATCCAAGGTGAAAGACAAAAACAAATAAAGCCTATCAAACATACAAGGTTTGTTTTGGGTTTGATTTAAATTTTGATTTGGGTTTGATTTAAATTTTGATATAAATAGATTGATATGATATTTTGTAAAAGAATATATATATATATATATTTTTTATTTATAAAAAACTAGATAAATTAAAATAGAAGTGACTTATGTTTGAAATATAGACCAAACACACCTCCAAATTGTTTCCATTTTTTTTTAAAAAAAATTTCAACATTTTAAAATATTAATTTTCATTTAAATCGTTGGTGCATACATTTTGAAATTTACACGGGCCTAATGTTGTTAAAGTGAACTTGTAACGGTACACCTCTAATGATGCGTTTGTTTGGGAGTTTGGATTTTAAATTGAGATTTGAATAGTAAAAATTTTGAATTGAAATAGTTATATGATGTGATATTAATAGTATTGATGTGATGTTTTGAATATTAAATTGATTTTTAGTAAGAATATAATACAAAAAATAAAAAATAAGTACTTCTCCGTCCGCCTCTATGGGTCACATTTACTTTTTGTGTCATTGTACTTAACATTAAAAATATCTTTATATTTGTATAATTTTTTGTACAAATATCTTTCTATTAGTATTATAATACTTTTATAGAATACTTTTGCAATTGTTTTTCTTAGGGTGTGTTTGTTTGAGGGTTTGGATTTTGAGTTGGGATTTAAATAGTAAAAATTTTGAATTTGAATAGTTGTATGATGTGATATAAATAGGTGTTGATGTGATGTTTTGAATATAAAATTGATTTTTAACATAATATAAAAAATGAAAAATAGGTGTTTGATTTGATGATTTTGGGAGAAATGGGATGAATAGTGGGATTAAAATCCAATCCCCCAAACAAACACACCCTAATTTGTACTTAAGTTTTAATACTCCTTCCCTCCCATAACAAAGTATCCATTTTTCTATTTTAGTCCGTCCCATAACAAAGTGTTCATTTTTTTTAGTAACAGTACTATCTACCTAACATTACAAATACCCTTACAACTTACAATATATTACACAGATGTCATTACCTTTGTGTATCACACATACTAACAAGGTTATTTTAGTTATTTCTAATTTATTCCTACTATATTCCAATATAATACTAATATTTCTAAAACTACGTGAAAAAACAAATAGATATTTACTTCTGAAACATAGAGAGTATAATAATTAATATTAAAAGATCAGCACGTAAAAAGTAAATAAGACCCTTAGAGCATGATATATATAGTATTTGATTTGATGTTTTGAAGGGAAAAAGTTTGAGTGAATAATAGAACTGCTAACAAATCCACCAAAGTTGATAATTTACTGAAACATGCATAGGAAAAAAATTATAACAGTAAATTTTTATGTCATAATAATACTCCCTCCGTCCGGGTCTAAAAATCTCATTTATATTTTGTATCATTGTACTTAACATAAAAAATACTTATATTTGTATAATTTTTTACACAAATGTCGTTATAATAGTATTATAAGACACTGATAGAAGTATTTTTTTCATTTTCTTTTAATTTGTACTACGTTTTCATATAATAATTAATATTAAAAAATCAACAAGTAAATGAGACCTTAGAGCAGGATATAGGTAGTATTACTTTATCCGTTTGTGTGAAATTATACCTGTTTATTCGGATACTACTAGTGTAAAATTGGAGAAAGAAGTGATTATTTATTTATTTTTTTAATTGAGTGATGCCATGAGATAAAGTGAAGTACTCTATATTAATATATGTATATAAATATTATTAATTATTTTTTAATTTAAAAATAAAAAAAAATATTGCAGAGTGTTTGACTACTACTAATAATAATAATAAAATTATACCATAAGCTCGCATGATGTGGATTCCACAGGCTGTCTTCCCTTGAGAAGAAAAGAGTTTAAAAAAAAATCTTCCACCGTAAGGCTTGGATTCCTCTGCGAGTCAAATCCAAAATTTATACATATAAAAAATTCAAAACTTGATTCAACAATGGCGTTTAAACCTCTCAACGAAAACATATTCAAAGTCCAAAACTAAGAATAAATTGGATACCCGACGCCAACTGTCCCATTCTTACTCCTAACCTTTTTAATGGATCACACCGTCTTCATTTATTACCTCCCCTCCCACCATCATTACACAGCTAACTCCTCCGAGGTCAATTGTTTCCGCTCTCTCTCTGAGCTGTAGGAAGAAGAAGAAGAAAGAAGAAGTGATGACGTCATACCTGCTGCGCAAGCTCCAATCGTTCCAGAACGGAACATCCTCGTCGGCGGCGGAAACCGCCGGCGACGTTGTAATAGAAGAAATCCCTAATTCCGACAAAACAGACGAGATTGAGCGCAGCAAAGTTGGAATCATGAGGGCTGTCGTTCAGGCACAGGACCCCTCCGCTAAGGTACTTCAATCGCTGTTCTTAATCTCCTAATTTCATCGGTTTCTTCGCCTGTCCTTTTCGCGAATTTCGAATTATTAGGTTAACTGCGCGAATCCGGCTGATGAATGTTCTTATGTCCGAAATTCAATTGCCTTTGTTAGAGGCTTAATTCTTCCCTGTATAACTGCTTGTAGTTAGCTAGGCTGTTCGAATTTTGAACGTTTGCACATTGTAGGATTGGGATGATCTGATGATAGAGGAGATTTGTCCGAATTTTGAATGTTGGCACATTGTAGGATTTGGATGATCCGATGATGAGGAGATTTCTCCGAGCTCGCGACCTAGACGTCGAAAAGGCGTCGGCTATGCTGCTCAAGTACCTGAAATGGAGGAAAGAATGCGTGCCAAATGGCGACATTTCGCCGTCGGACATTACAGCCGATCTTGGACACAACAAGCTGTTTATGCAAGGCCATGACAAGACCGGCCGCCCAATTGTAGTAGTTTTCGCTGCCCGGCACAAGCCTACAAATGTCGAGGATTTCAAACGTACGGACAATGCTCATCTCTCCCGACTCATTCTTACATTCCTTTGCTAATTTGTGTTTCCTCCTTCATTACAGGCTATGTCACTTTCTCCCTCGACAAGATTTCCGCTAGGTAACTCTCTCTTGACATAGATTCTTCTAGAACTTTTGTACTATTAGCGTGAATGGACTCATAACTATAAGATCATAATTCATGTCTTGCCTGTCAAATATGATTCCTCTAGTATGACTTGCTACCAATTGCGCTCGTGTTCAATGTAGTAAGGATGATTGATCGATTACGTCTGTTATTACAGGATGCCGAGCGGTCAGGAGAAGTTCACAGCCATAGCAGACCTGGAAGGGTGGGGCTACGCCAACAGCGACATCCGCGGCTATCTTGCATCTCTAACCATTCTGCAAGTACGCGTAAACTCCATTTTTGCTGGATTCCACAAGCTCCTATAGCTGTTTCTTTGTCTGATTCTTGATTTAATGACAGGACTACTACCCAGAAAGGCTGGGGAAGTTCTTCATCATCCATGTCCCTTACATATTCATGACAGCCTGGAAGATGATCTATCCCTTCATAGACAAAAACACTAAGAAAAAGGTAAGATTCTGTAATGTAATAAATCACCAAACTATGTCTTCTCTAACAAAATGTACTTCTTCCATCATCAATATGCAGATCATTTTTGTCGAAGACAAGAAGCTGCAGTTGACGTTGCTTCAAGACATCGACGAAAGCCAGCTTCCGGACACTTTCGGAGGGAAACTAAAATTAGTGCCCATACAAGACTGCTGAAGTTCAGCAAACAAAGCTACTCTACCATTCATATTGTAGGGACACATAATATACAGCAACTACATTTCAAACAAGAGCCTGTAATCGAAATCTCGAAACAGCAGCATAGGCATATATGACTTAATCATATGTTTCTCGATTCTAAAGCATATATTATCCCCATTCTACGCTAACAAGCATCTTTATATCTAACGGCGAAAATTTTCTAACAAGTGTAGTATAAAGCAAATCGAGTATTTATTCCTATTCTTAGTACAAACTTGGCCAAAGGACCAAGAAACAACTAGCCAGCAGAATTATTTAGAATCGTAAGAGTACCTTCGACTGCTGGAACATTTGGATCGGAGAGAGAATAAAACCTTTTGACGAATGAAAATAACAATTACAAGAGTATAAAAATGAGAAATCTCCATAGTTCTGGTTCTGCCAGGATAGGGGGTAAAGCACATCCCTTATATATATTATCACGCTTAACCGATCAGTAACTTGTTCTCATCCAAAAAGGTGTAAGTGGGAACCTCCAGATTGTACGGAGCAGGTCCTTTGCGAATCCTACCAGAGATGTCATAATGGGATCCATGGCAAGGGCAAAACCAGCCACCAAAGTCCCCGGCATTAGGTAAGGGAATGCATCCCAAATGAGTGCATACTCCAATGACAACAAGCCATTCGGGATTCTTAACCCTTATAGCATCTTCCTGGGGATCTCGAAGGGAACCAACATCGACGCTGTTGGCTAAATTGATGTCATCTTCAGTTCGACGCCTGATGAAAACTGGCTTCCCACGCCACTTGACGGTGACAGTTGTGCCAGGCTCAATGCTGGACAGATCGACCTCAAGGGAAGCAAGGGCAAGGACGTCTTTGCTGGCAGACATGCTCAAAACAAATTTCAGGACGAGGAGACGGGCCAATGATGCATAGACAAACCTGCCTCCGGTCAACACAAAGTATGCAAATGCACGCTTGCTCGGATCACCTGGGGGATATCGCTCGTGGTTGTGCTCATCGTAGACGATCTTTGAAGTGGGATTCTTGATTGCAGCCACTGTGGCAGGGACATCTGAAATCAGACCTGTTTCCTGCCCATGTGTGACAGCACCGGAGGAAAACCCTGAAATTGTTCACCAATTGAACATTATTCAAATCTATGCAATGTGTCTAAATTATTGTATTTAATATATAGATATATGACCCACTTCAAAAACATATGAAGGCAGGGGACTCATCTAAATTTGTATTGGCATTAGGAGTGACGAAACTTTCGAATACCGAAATGATCATTTTCATTCATAACTTTGTAAAAAGGGGTAGCATCGCGATAGATCTTATGGGTGTATCACATCCGTTACTATGTCCAATTTAATCATCAATGACAGTACAATGCAACTATAACACTAATAACATGTGAAATAGGAATGTAAGCACAGTAAAATGTCTAAGATGCAGAAATCTAATAAGTAGAAAAGCTGATAAATGATATGGAAATGCCATCGAAAGGGGTTCAAGAAATTTGAATTGAGTGGCATAGCCAACTTTCAACCAGAAAACGAAGCAGAATAACAAGTCTATTTCAAATTCCACATGCAGACAATAAAGAAAATGCAAGAATGGAAAAGCCTAACATGGTTGGAGCAGGGAAATGATACTGAGTTAACTATCAAGCGTACACATATAGCTAACAATATCCAACAACCCACATAATCAATCATCTTCATAAAGACATATTTATGGATGGTGACTGATCTTAATCCCATTATGCAAGACCCTGAAGTTCTAAAAAAGTTACAATCATTTAATTCCCACAGCATATTGATACAAAATAAGTCAGAAGTACCACTAATAAAAAAATATTTATGCTGGAAAACCATAGGAGGTGTTTACTTGTGTTCTTAAGGGTGTGTTCTTTTCAAGGATTTTACATTTCCACAATTCAACAATTTTTTTTTCCCCAAAAAACATCAGATCAGACACCTATTTTTTATTTTTATATTATATTGAAAATTACTTTTACATTCAAAACATCACATCAACACCTATTTATATCACATCACATAGCTATCAATCACGGATAGCGGTGCGTAGTAGTCAACATCTAAAATGCTATAGTAGAATAGCGGATAGCGGTATGACCGCTATTTAAATATTTAAGAATATATATAAAAAGGTATTATATATACAAAACTACAACAAAAATAAATTAAAAAAATCTATAAATTAATCTCATAATTATAATATAGCCAATAAAATGTCAAAAAAAAAAAATTGATCATAACTGATAGATAGTTATATAAGCAAAAACAATTAGATCACTACTGTGTGATAGATATATATCAAAGCTAATCAAATTCAAACTCTGATAAAGAATTTTTTTACTCATTTTCGTCATCCTCATTGCTTAATTACTGTTCTCTATATATTCTTCCCCCTCTTCTTCATTCTTATCCATTTATTCTATTGTGTATGTTTGTCACCTTACATAATATCATTTTCGTTTTAGACTTAGAAGTACTTATAGCTTTCTTTCTCATTGATGTATTGATATTTCCATCCTAGTGTAGAAAGCAAGTCTGTTAGCTCAAGTAGCATCAACAACTCTCCTAATCTAATTATTATTGTCAAAGACTAACTCATCATCCTCAATTATCATCTTCTTTAATTAACCATTCATTGGAATCATCAATATCGTACAAAACAATAGAACCAATCACATCATTTGCCACTATAACGATCAAACACATTTTTGTTATACTTGATATAAACCAAATTTTACAACTTTTGGTTTTCTAAGTTGTTTCTTTTCTTATAATGAATCTAAACGTTTAGTTAAGATTTTAGATAAATGTTAGTTTCTTTTTCATCTATATTATAGTAAAAAAGTACATTTTATAAGTTAAAGTTAAATTTCAATTATTTTACATGTTAAAAAATAGCTGAGCGTAACATAGCAGAGTGCTGTTACAGGCTGCTAAATGCGGAATTGCGGAGCGACCATAACGGCCGAGTGTCTCTCCGCTATGCTACGCCGCTATTGCGGCGCTATAGCGCGGTATTGACAACCATGTCACATCATACAATTATTAAAATTCAAAATTTTTACTCATAATGTATATGGACACAATAATTAAGAATGTATTAGTAAAAATAATTATAATATAACAAAATAATTATAGTTTAAGCTTAAGATAACTAATTAGTATAATTAAAAGTTTAAAAATTTGAAATTTAAAATTTTTAAATATGATTAGTGTGTAATACTTTTACAAAAAAGAAAAGTGACAGAAGATGTGAGACGTGAGACGGACAAAAACAAAAAGTGTGACATTATGGGTGTGTTTGTTTGGGAGTTTGGATTTTGTATTGAGATTTGAATAGTAAAAATTTTGAATTTGAATAATTGTATGATGTGATATAAATATGTATTGATGTGATGTTTTGAATATAAATTAATTTTTAGTATAATATAAAAAATGAAAAATAAGTGTTTGATTTAATATTTTTGGGGGAAAAATTTAGTTTGAATAGTATAAATCCACTCAAATCCTTCAAACAAACACACATGTGTGGAACGGAGGGAGTCCTATTTAAATCCCAAACTAAAAGCCAAACCCCCAAACAAACACAATGGATTTTTTAATGAAAAATAGGTAATAGAAGTGATGCTTTGAATGGCAGATAAATGTTGGGTGTAATGTTTTCAAGAGGAAGAAAGATAATTTTATATAGATTGCATTGTACAAAAATGTGGCCAAAAACACAACAAATCCATATATTTTCATTCTTACTAAAAATTCAATTAAACTCAAAAAATTGATCAGGGACTTGAACATTATTTCCTTTTTTAATCCACCAAATGGTTTATATCCTGAAAAGTTGGTATCGGATTCTTACACTAATCACCAGGGGCTAGTTGCAACATACACAAATTCATTAGAGAATAAATAGAATTTTTAGAAAAAAGAAACTATGAATATCTTCTTCAAGGATTTCTTGTTCCTACCTATAAGTTGAATGTGCAAACAACAGAAAGAACATTAGAGAGCAAATTCATTTCAGACTGCTCTTAACAAAGTGGGAAAAGTGCAAATCCAAAAAGAAAAACAGGGAACAGTTTCAAAACAAAAGATCAGGAAACACACAGCAATAAACTGAAAATCTGAAATATAATGTATTTGCAAGTGAAATTCAAGTTGATTAGTATCGTGTTAAACAATACTATGCTCCACTCTGCTATTATCAACTTGCATATAACGTTATTAGCTCATGTTATCAGCACAGAATGGCCTAAAAGGATTTTTCACTGCATAAAATACAGTAAAAAAATAGGAGACATGGAAATCTTAAGGCTTAGATCGACACCATCAAAGTAAAACAGCTTCTCATACTGAACCGTAATCTAAACCAAAATTAACAACAAACAATGTAAAACAAGAGACTTCGAATTTTGATTACAAATAGAAGTCCAATCTTGAACGAAAATCATCCAATTAATTCACCAGGCTGGGCATAATTCAATCAATATAATTGAAACACCACTCTCGTCAAGAGAATCGCGATTCGTCAGCAGAATCAAAGAGGCTGCCGCAACTCATTTAAGAAGTGAACAAATGATGAAATAAAGACAGACAGATTGGCCGAATCTCAAAAGTTCCAAAACAAACCGACATTAAACAAAGCATCGAGGCGAAAAATCGCGTTAATCATAAAAACACAACACGCTGTACCCAAAGATATAGAATCCAACCTCTGATTTGATCGAGAAAGGATCCCCCAAAAGAGATTGAGTGCGCTGGCGACGATACGGTTCCGGTGCGTCCATCCGAGGATGAATCAAAGGCGGTTAATGGGCTCCTGGACCCCGCAACGGCGGCGGCCGACGAATTCGGACCGGAGCGCCACCCGAGAGAAGACAGCCTCCTCCCCGCTACCCTCAACATATTGGATCAAAGGAGAATATCAGCGTTTCTCGTGAAAATTGCGATGGAAATGGCGAACCTGGATGACCTAGGGCTTCTTCTTCTTATTCCAGAAAGGGAATTTATATAAATAAATATATATAATCATTTTTTTTAGTGAGACCGAAAAGACAAAGCCACAGAGAAATGATGACGTGGCCTGTCTGAGAACGAGTTACACGGTACACGTGGCATAAAGTCAAGAGGTGTTTCAACATGAAGTTGATCGTTGGCTTTGAGAAATAGAAAATTACGTGTTATGCATTTGATATGTATTTGTAGTGAATTTTTGAATAAAAAAATAATTTTTTATGTAATAGAAAAAAAATAAATAAATTTAATATATTTAACAAACGCAAATTTAGGGTGTGTATTTCTTATAATTAGAAGAAATTGAATTTGAATTATATTTAAATTTTAAAATAGTTTTGATTTTGTGTTCTTTATATTTGTAAATTTGATTTGAATTTTTTTGACTTCCGATGCAATTGTGTATTAACTTTTATTAATTATAAATAAATATTTGTATGATATAAATTTTTATTTTTTATAAAATGATACTTTTGTCCCTAATAATATGTTTTTATTATAGTAGATATAATAATTTAGGTGAAATATTAGTAAAAATAATTATTATATAATTAAAATTCTTATATATTAAGATTAAAATAATTGAATAAATTATGATTAAAAAAATTATAATTTATAAAATTTTAAAATGTAATTATGTGTATAATTGTATTTTAAAAAAGCGACAAATTATATAGAATAAATAAAAAACAAAAATAAATTATGAAGGACGAGTGAGTATATATATTGTATATATTTTATTAAATTATAGTCTATCCGTCCCCTGTTTACCTTTTGTATTATTGTAGTTAACTTATATTTTTATATAATTTTTTGCACAAATTTCATTATAATAATATCATAAGACACTAATAGAAGTATTTTTGTCATTTTCTCTTAATTTGTACTATGTTTTCATATAATAATTAATATTTAAAGATGAACATACAAAAAATAGACGAGACCGTTAGAGCCCAACATAAATAGTAATTATTAAAATAATCAAATGATTAATTTGCTGGAGTTCTGCAAATCTTCCCATATGTTATGTTCTTAAAATTATTTCAAAAAGAAAAGAACACGGTGGCAAACTCTGGATCGGTGCAAAAGGAACACATCCTAAATAGATCGTAGATCACCCCGCCGCAGATGAGAGGATTTGAATGGGGTGTTGTGAGAGAGGCGGAACCAAATCGGGATGAAAGGGGGGTTAATTTTTCAAATTTCGAAATGATCAAAATCTATTTGTTATTCAATAATTTTATCAATTGAGTTATCATATTTCGAAAATATTTCAAAATATCAACCTACAGTAACAACTACATATTACAAGATGAATTTTGTATTATATGAAATTGATAAATAAAAAAAAAATTATTAAAAAAATAGCTCTTAAAACTATCATTTCTTATGCATTTGGTTGGAATTTTTTTTAAGATTTTTTTTAATTATTTTTTTTACTTTTTTGTTCATATATATTTTTATAGTATCAAACAATTATTATAATATAATTTTTTTTATTATTCAAAATTAAACTTTCACATAAATATTCTATTAATTTTTAACAATTATTTATTTATTTATTATTTTTAATATTATATATTATAAAATAAAAATTAAAAGGGGTTCGGGGACTGGAGCCCCCTTGTCCCCACATACATCCCCTTAGTTGTGAGTTGGTGGGGGTTGTTGCACAAATTTTAATTTAAGATTTAGGGATGGAAAAAAAATTGTTTCTAATTCCGTTTATAATTAGTGATGCAAATATTTTTGTGTTGTATTTCGTCGCTAATCAGTAACCAAATGATAGTACGTCTCTAATTTTCGTTCCTACTTGTAACAAAATGTATTGTCGTCTCTGATTTTTTTTTTTGTTTCTACTCCATCCCTATATTTTGTCGTAAATTGATAATAAAGGATTATTTATCTTATTTTGCCCCGATTCCGTCACTAATAGAGAAATAAATTTAGTTTCTAATTTTTGTTATTATTCTGCCCTCATTCCGTCACTAATAGGGAAATAAATTTAGTTTCTAATTTTCGTTATTATTCTCCCTGATTCCGTCACTAATAGGGAAATAAATTTAGTTTCTAATTTTCGCTATTATTATTGTTGTTGTTGTTGTTGTTGCAACGAAAGTATATATACTAAATGAGTGTGCATATATTGGCTCTCACTATAGAAAAATATCATATTGTTGCGGAATAATTTGTTATAGTTATGCAACAAATTTGATGAATTATTGCAAAATGTTGCAGAATTGATTCCGCACTAGATTGGTTGTGACTATTTGTTATTGTCGCGGAAGTTTGTAAAAAATTAGATTAATTAAAAATTGTCGTGGAACTGCAACAACACAATGCATTTAATTAAAAATTGTTGCGGAAGACTTCCGCGACAATTACCAAATACCTTAAATACCAAATTTGTCGCAATCTTCTGCAACAAAAAATCAAACCGTAATTTTTTTTTATTTAATATTAATATTAATTATAAAAATAAATATTCATATAAATATTTTTAAATTTCAAAATTAATTTTAGTTATATTTTTAAGAAAATAAATTTAAAATAAAATAAAATAATATTTATATTTATTTTAATGTCAAGCTAAAATACATCAAAGGCAAAAACATAGTTATATTATACAAAATTTTTAATAATCACTACAAAAAAATAGTATATTTGTAACGGAATTCTGTTCCTAAAGTTCACGTAGCTAACGTAATTCCATCCATAATTCTGTCTCTAATATCATTTGTAACGGAAAAAATGGATTTAAGAACGAAAAAATCTTGTTACAAAATTGATATTTTTTTTTTATAGTGAATATTGCGTAGGTGGAATTGTTTCATCATCGTCTTCTTCATATTCACTATCCTCTTCGTGCCGTAATATCGTCCATTTCCACTCGCTCCACCGGTCCGACTTCTACTTCCACTTCTCTCTCGACGCACTCAATAAGGATCAAATGAACTGGTCATTTAGGGATAATATGGCTCTGGTTCTTGAGGAATAGAATTATTAAAGTTTTGAATACATGTATTAAAAAACTTCATCACTTGCACATACACAAAAAAAAAAAAAAAAAAAAAAGCTTATATTTTTTTCAATCTAAAAGTTTAAAATTTTTTGATTAGTTGTTCACAATTCTTCCTTAATTTTGAGATGCTCTTCCATTGAAACACTTGCATAAGGAACAAATATAACATGTTGTAAACTGGAAGGACGTAGCTGAACCAAGTCCTGAGACACGACCTTTTGTGTTGAAACCACCAAATGCATTCACGAGTTTTTCTGAATCAGGTTCAGAGGTAGAACTACTTTCAGAAAATTTTTGTAGCTCCGCCTAAGAAATAAAATTTTTCTAACCATTATATTCTATCGTTCAATATGGAAAAATATATTTTCTAAATAAATTATACATCGAGAACTACAACATCTTGAGTAGGTATTTCGTTCTTTATACTAAAACATTGACGATAAAATTCTATTTCTATCGGGGTACTAAGTTGTCGGTCTACAAGAAAAATATCATTAGAACTTTTGTCAAACATATATAAAATACGGAAAATTATGTTTACAAATTATATTTAATTAAATTGTACCATAATCTTTCGAACACGACCAACATATCGAGCCCCCCACGGTATTGATTTGCAAGTGTTGCGGGATTTTTTTTCCTATTTTTTTTTTTATTTCTTTCAACCATATCTTGAAGTTCCTTAGAACTCCATTGTTCCTTCATTTTATCCCAAAATCTCAAGAGAAATTCATTTCGGACATGCATTATTTTTTCGAGCATAGCCTAAATTTTTCTTAATAACTCACTAACTTTATTTAAAAATAAATCACGAATCTCATATTCATAGTGAGATTCCCACCTATAAAAATACCGTTGAAATTTAATCGTTAAAATCAATTAAGTAATAAAATAATTAATAAAACAAACTCAATTTTACATATATTTTAAATATTTCAAACCATTTGTCTCGTTGGCTATTAGGTACTTGCTTCATAAAAATTCATGGTTTATAAAAATTTGATCTAAATATATTTCCTATTTTTCCAATCAAACCTGAAATTGAACTATAAGAGAATAAATATTATATTTTGTTAGAATTTATACTTTAAATATGTAATTATAAAAAAAATTAAATAATAATATTATAGAAACTACAACATAATTTAAACTACTCGATGTAATCCATGTCCTATCATCCGTAATTCCCCCATCACCACTTTTATTTTCTTCTCCATTATTACTCGTCATTCCATATCTAACCGATGATATCGGAAATAAAGGTGGTTGATTATCCATTGATATAATTTGTATTCTCTTTAATATAATAATAAAATTAAATTATATCAACAAAACAAATCAAATCTTATCAAAACAGCATAACAAAACAAATTAAACAAATCTATTTGCTAAAGTAAATATACACTTACTTATATATATACATAATATATATAAATAATATATAAATTATAGAGTGTCTAAGTTTTTCTATAAATATGCTTGCATTTTACAACAGAAAATACACAAATTTTTATCAAAGATTTTTATATTTTCTGCCACTACTCTACATTCAAGTTTTAACAATGGAGCAAAACTCTAAAAAATCTTTCAATTTTCAAAAGCCTTTTTCATTTCAAAGTTTTACGAACATACTTGAAAATCAAGATTGTTCGCAAAACTTTTTCAATCCTAAAATTTTTAAACATCTATCCCAAATTTCTACGCTTCATCGTATTCTTCTATTCCTCCACACTATTATTATCCTCAAAATTTTCAACATTTTGTAGGTTCATCATATCCTCAAAATTTTCAATCATCTGGAGGTTCTTTTAATTCTCAAAATTTCCAATCATTTCAAGGTCCATTTTATCCCCCATCGATGGGTTTTACGCAAAATATACAAATGAAAAGTATTCCTGAATTTTGCACACAAGTCAATCAACAAGATGAAGATGACGTACAAATCATTACTCCAACGACAGAGACCAAAAGAAAGTAGACTCGTGAAGAAGATTTGCTTCTTATTAGTAGATGGCTTAACACAAGCAAAGATGCACTAATAGACACTGATTAAAAATGTATTACTTTTTCGAAAAAAAATTCTTAATATCTTAATGATAACAAATATGAAGCAGGGGTGTCAAGAAGTGTAAACCAATTCAAGAATCGTTGGCAAAAGATAAATAAAGCCGTTTCAAAATTTGTTGGGTGCTTTCAACAAGCTAACCAACAAAATATGAGCGAAAAATCTTTTGATGATGTCTTGAATAAGACACATCAAATATATTCTGCAAATTGTAAGAAAATATTGATTTATGAACATGTTTGGCATGAATTAAAACTTGAGCCAAAATGAAATACCAGTCATCGTGGTACAAATGTTGTCAATGAAGCATCTTATGACAGTGGAGTTGGCTCGAAGAGAACTAAAATTAATGAAGATGATGGATACTCGTCTAATTCAAATCCAACAACACCACATAGTGATGGAGTAGAAGAATCTCCCTCAATTCGTCCTCCGGGTGTGAAAGCGTGTAAAAATAAAAGCAAACGGGCACTAAAAAAATCTTCAAATTCACTTTCCTCCAATGATTTTGAAGAACTGCAAGCTCAAAGTAAAGAAGTTGCATCACAATTTGCTCGCATAACACTACTGAAGAAAGAAAAAATCAAAAGCAACGAGGGTATTGCCAAAATTAAACTTTATTGAACACTAGTGGAGAAAGATAATTTGACGGAGCAGGATTTACTTATTAAGGCTAAATTGTTCGAAGAGTTGTTTTAAATATTGTTTAAATTATATGTATTTTGTTCTATGTTATTCAAATTATCTTGTCTTTTATTTTATATTAATATCTTATTATTAATTATTTATATATAATTAATTATAAACTAAATATATTTATTGTTTAATATAATTTTATATTATTTAATTTCTTTAAAATTTATAATTATATTTTATTTAATAAATTAAATTAAATTTATTAATATTGATTTTTTCAATAGAATTATATAATATTTGTATTTATATATTTTAAATTTCAAATTGTAAAATATATTCAATATTGGTATCACTTTGTAGAATACAAAATATTATGAATTATAAAAATACTACAAAATTTAAATATAACAATAAATTCAATATAAATTATAAAAACACAACATATATAATATATTATATATATATATATACCTAAGTGTCACATGGCAATGGAATCACATCTTGCCAGCAGCGATGCTGGGAAGCACGGCTTCTATTAATTTTTATTTTTTATTTTTTAAAAATTGTGATGCGGAGATGCGTCGTTGTGGATGATCTAATATGACTAATATATATGAATGAATAGAAATATATATATATATTTTTTTTTATAAAATTTCAGACAATTAATATTGTAATGGATCATACACCCTTCATACTATTTTTTTTTTTTTTATGTAACTTTTAAAGACAAAATAAGTATGAGTTAATATAAATTTTCATATTTATAACAATAAATATAATATTATTTTATTTTATTTTATTTTTGTTGTTGTTGAAATCAATATAGAAAAAAAAGTATAATTTTATAAATAATTATTAATATGATCAACTATTATACAGTTAATCAAAATGATTATCAGCTCTTATCACTTTCAGCCTGCCCCCTCCCTCCAAACACTATTATTGTGACACCCCGGTCCGCAAGTCATCCAAAGCTGAGCGTGTTGACACCCCGGTCCGCAAGTCATCCAAAGCTGAACGTGTCGGAATTGCAGACTGGTCTCACAGGTTAACAAGAGTTATTTCAATGTGTTTCTGTCCTCATTTACACGCTCCCAGGGGTCACCCATTCTCAAATTATTATAAGGCAAACACGCTTAACTATAGAGTTATTTCAGTAGGGCTCCCATTAATGAATGTGTACATTGTTTACATAAGTAGTCTATTCAATCAATTTAACTTATATTCACTCTCGGATGGTCTAGCACCGGCTCATCTATATACGGGAGTTAGCCTATCACCCGCCCAACTTCTGGGGGTATTACATCCTCCCCGACTTAAGAATACAACGTCCCCGTTGCACTCCAAACAATGTGCACATTTTTTTGGGAGCCTTGCTAAAAGAATTATACAGTTAAGTGTGCTTACCCTAAGTATGAGGATAGATGACCTGGGAAATCTCCCGTGCGTGAGTGAGGATAGAATCAATCAAAAAAATATAAAATTCCAAATTTTAGAAAAATTAGTATTGCCTAGATTGGGCATACAACCTTCTAATATAAGACCCATGCAACATTCTAATCAATCAAAAATTTTAAAAATAATCCAATATAAAAAAGATTCAAAATTACATAAAAATTAGTATTATGCAGGATGAGCTATATATCCTTTATATATACATATATATTAGTATGAAAGTAGCATATAAATCGTGCTATACGCGAGTTATTAATATTCAATCATAATACTTTTTTATATTTTAGTAAAAAATTGTGTAAAATACCCTATATTTTATTTATTGTGTAAAATTCTTTATGTTAAAACTATGTACAAAATACTTTTTCGTCCAAAACTTTCATTGTAAATATGCATCTAATTATGCGATTTTTATTCAAATAAAAAATAAAATATCTTAAATAGATTTATTCAAAAAAAAAAGGTAAGATACTTTTTTTTTTTTTTGTAACTATGCATCAATGAAATCGCGTCGAAAAGGGTTTTGGTATCATTTGTACTTTGTAAAAGAGAAAAAATATACGTTTTTGAGAAATATTTGTACCTTTTCAATTTAATTTTTATATTTTTTTAAGAGCAATCAATATTTTTATAAGATATTTAAAGTATTGATTTTTTTTTATTTTTTTTGCCTTAAACCAACTTTATTCGTTCGAGACTAATACATTTTATCAATATTTTGTATTTTATTTTAAGAATTGCTAGCTGTTATTTATTTTTAGAATTATTATTATATTATCAATACACAAATGTAAAATTCTTTAATTGTATTCATATTCATTATCGTAGGAATTGGGTTCAAGCTTGCCCAACCCCTTCTCATCAATGGACTCATAACATATACAAAGGAGTGTTCGAAAGATATGAAAAATCCCCCTCTTAGCCGTAAATATGACTTTACTCGAATGTGACTTTCCAAAAAATTCTATATGTATCTTATCTATGAGATCGAGTATGAAATTATGTTTACTCAGTTTAAATTGAAATCCGTTTCCCACGCCAATTCCTGCTAGGACTGGAATCCTGTGTTTTATATATTCATACGATAGAATCTTTGGGTTTCATCGAAATTTTTCTCTTAAAAATATTCAAATTAAACATCTATTTTTAAATACATTAATTTTATATTTAAAATATCACAATAAGACTTATTTATACCACATTATACAATTATTTTAATCCAAATTTATTCCTATCTAAAACTCAAACCCCAAACAAACAAACTCAGACGGTAGCAATGTTTGAACCCATGATCTTATAGTTTTAAGTTCATTCACCACACCAATTTAGTCACTCCTTACGGTGCTTATGTTTTCGATTCTTAATTAATTGGTCGAGAGATGGTTTTTGGACCTTAATATATTCCATAGTGTATGAAATACATCAATACTTTTATACAATTTACACTCAAAAATGTGAGGAGCTTGGAGCTCAAGATCGGTTCGGAAATTTTCTTCTCATAATTTGGGAGAAATTTTTTAAGATTTTGGGAAACAAAAAAATCCTTGGATTCGGATATGAATGATTTTTTCTATTTTTTTGGATATATTTTGTGAGTTTTTAAACCTAACTCGAGGGAGGTTTTAGAGAACAAATATGGACAAATTTGCATTTTTATTAGTAGTGGTTGGCAAATTTAGGTAGAAACTCATTCGATATTCTTGTATTCTAGAATTGCGAACATGGATTTGGAGAACGTTTTGAAAATAAAGATTGGACGTAGTTTTTAAATATACTTAAAAGCGTGTTCGTATAAATGATATATTTATGTAATTTTAGTAAAATAAAAATATCTACACACGATTTTGTAAAGTCGTCAATGTAAAAATTTTAAAGCACGTAGGAAAACCCTAATTCACTCCTATATAAGCATCGGTAAGCTTTACAATCCCGCGGCGCCGTTGCTTCTTCAGATTCATTTTTTTTCTTTAAAATTTTCTAATGGGTTTTGTAGATCTATGTCCGAGGCTTTCGCTTATTCAACATCGCTCTGAAACACAATTCGTCATACAATTATTCTCCGATGGTAAGTTTCACGATCCAACGTAGTTGTTTTCTCAGATTCATTTTTTTCTTTAAATTTTTTTTACAATAAAAATTTCTATACGGGTTTTGTAGATCTATATCCATGGCTCTCGCTCGTTCTTTATCGTTTTGAAATGCAACTCGTCGTACGATTATTCTCTAATGGTATGTCTACCAATTTATTTTAAATTAAACTCTATTAATTTTCAGGAATATGTACTAGTAAGTCCCAACATACATCAATTTAATTTTGTTCTATACAAATTATTTCAGGCTAAAAACATATTTTTTTAGCTTCTTGTTTATAAATTATTTCAATTACTAACATTTAAGCACTTTTATCGAATACTACAAGGTTCTTACTTTAGGTTCATTTTTTTTTTTTTTTGTTATTATTTATTATTTTTGGACATACATATCCATTATGTATAGCTTGTTTGAGCTTTGGAGGGTGCCAAATGTTTTGTATAGATTTTTTTTTTTTAATAGAAATTTTTTATAAATATGCACTGTTCCGAATAAAAAAAAATATATTCGTATTTATTTAAGTAAAAGATTAATTTAATATAAATTGTATGGTAAGAACATAAAAAATAAAAAATAAAATTACAAACAAACAGGACATTAACTTTGGAGGAAGGTTTTTATTATGTACTCCCTCCATCCACACAATAAGTATACATTTACTTTTGGTACGGAGTTTAAAAAATAATAATATTTTAATTATAATGGGTAATAAAAGTAGTGTAATGACATTTTTGTTCTTATTTTTTGATATAAAAGTAATGATGTGATGTAAAATAAGGGTATTTGTGGAAAAAATAGGGTATTTAATGAAATAGTTACTTTGTAATTGGACGTCCCAAAATAAAAATATGTATACTTTGTAGCTAGATGGAGGTTGTAGTAAGTACAATAGGAAAAATCTCAAAAATTACTTTTATATAGAAATTGCAATATAGTACTCCATTCATCATTCAAATTTATACTCACTTTACTTTTAGAGTTGCCATAAAAAAATATTCTAAAAAATTATTACATTTTTGTACTTTTTTTTACCGTAAAAAGAAAAGGTAACAATTATTACTCACTTTTATTAAAATTGGCGCCCGATCAAATGAACACACATTTGCATGACGGATGAAATATTTAATTGGGTGGTTCGAAATATTAATTACGAGATTTTAAATTAATCGAATTTGAAATCTCGTAATTAGTTTTAAAAATTTAGTCATAAATTTAAGTTTCCTTCAAAGAACTTACTAATAATTACAAATTTCTTATATATCTGGTAATTAGTACCTTTGATTCTGAACAGGAAATTAATTTATGTAATTGTCAATATTTTAAAATATCAACTTTATTATTTTTTATTAAACAGCTCATAATTATAATTATGTGTAAATATATTATAAATTATTTATCAATAAAAATTTTATACATGATAAAATAGGAGTTTGGTTCAGTTTTTTTTTTTATTATCCTCATTGTAATTTTATATCTGTTTGAACTTTTTGCATTAAAAAATTTTATACCAATTTATAATTAAGATATTTAATATTTTAAAGTGACAGATATTGTGAAAATATGCATAATATATTGATATTTTATATATTATATATTCAAAATCCATAACTTTATACTATAAATTATATTTAATATATTTGAATTAGATTGATAGTTTATTTTATTTTTTTCTTATTTTGCAGATATTAAATATTCTGATGTAATTCTGAAGTGTTCGTTGCATTTGATTCTTATTAAGAGGAAATATTGGATGCCTTTGATTTGGATTTTAAATAAAAATACATTATGTTTTCTCACAAAATATCTAATTAATTGCGTCAAAGGTGAGCATTATTATATTCTATTTAATGGCGATTTTAGTATCATAATAAATTTCTATCAAAGATTACATCAATAATAACCAAAATCCATTATTTTGGGCTGCTATTAATACCGATATTAAATAACATACAAATTTTAATAAATTTGAGTGACAAATAAAAAATTCGGAAATGATTAAAAAAAAGTTTTATCCACACTAAATGGTAGAATTTGTTTGATTTGTATTTAAATATTTATTTATCGAAATTTTAATTTAAATAGTATTTTAATATAATATTTTATAAGAGAAAAATATAATTTTATTAAAAATAATAATTTGAAAACAAAAGAGAACAAAAAAAAAATGGTTTAGAGTACCAACCAAACAAATCCCTAGTGAGTATGCATATACGTACACAAAAATACGTATATGTATATATATAGGCAGAGAGTGAGTCTGTGTACAGTACTGTCATTCATTCACTGTCGTTTGGCGTTGCTACTAACTCATCTTCTCCTCTCTCTCTTTCTCTCTGCTTCAAGTTTCAACAGCGATAGATAACCTCATGGCGCACGTTAGCAACAACCTCCCCTGCGACGCCGAAGGACTGTGCATGGTCTGCAAGCAACTCCCGCCGGAGGGGGAAATCCTCACCTGCCAGACTTGCGCCGCCCCCTGGCACGTCGCCTGCCTTGCCTCGCCGCCGGAATCGCCACACAACGTGGCGGATTGGAGCTGTCCGGACTGCACGGATCTCTCCGTCGACGGAGCGAGGCCGTCGGCGATAGCTTCCAGCGGTGGCCTGATTGAGAAAATCCGCGCAATCGAGTCCGATGCGTCGCTGACAGACGCGGAGAAAGCCAGGCGGCGGCAGGAGCTGCTTAGCGGAGGCGGCGCCGACCAGAAGACGGAGGAAGGCGGCAGTTGGGAGATATTGGGGGATAAGTTCAATTGCTCCATCTGCATGCAGATTCTGGACAGGCCTGTTACGGTACGGATTGCTCGTTTCCATCCATTAATTTGCAGAAATACGATTTTGATCTGAAACTTGAATCGCCATTTTTTTATTGAGGAATTTTATTTTGAGTGCTTGAATTGAGAATGAATGCTTTGGCGGAAAGTTAGTTGTTAGTGTTGCAGAGGACTCACCAAAACGATGTCGTAATTGTTGTAAATTTAATGATTCTGTTTTTCTTTTTTTAGGATTTTAAAGACAAAGGTAGAATTTCAGTTTTTGTATTTTTGGATGCTTTTGATTCTCTCATAGACTTTTTCAGTGAAAACAAAATCTTCAATCTCCCTTCCTTTTTTTCGATCTTTTATGATTTGATAAAATGGAAAGAACTTTTGCAAACTCTCTCTCTATCTCTATATATGAATTATATGTATATGGTGTTTTCAAGCATTCTCTATTGTTGCAGACGCCGTGTGGACACAACTTCTGCTTAAAATGCTTCCAGAAATGGATTGCTCAGCAGCGCACGAACACATGTGCTATTTGCCGGAAGGCGATTCCGGCGAAGATGGCGAAGGAGCCTCGGATCAACTCAGCCATGGTAATGGCTATAAGAATGGCTAAGCTAGCCGAGCCTAGTTCTACAGGGGGCACTCAAAGAGCCTACCACGTTATTCACAACCATGATCGCCCCGACAAAGCATTTACCACCAATCGGGCGAAAAAAGCCGGCAAGGCTAATGCTTGCAGTGGGAAAATTTTCGTGACCGTTCCTCTTGATCATTTTGGTCCAATTACGGCAGAGAATGATCCCACGAGAAACCGGGGTGTCTTGGTTGGAGATTCATGGGAGGATCGGATGGAATGCAGGCAATGGGGAGCTCACTTCCCTCATATTGCCGGGATTTGTGGCCAGGCTGATCATGGAGCGCAATCGGTCGCGCTGTCTGGCGGCTATGTAGATGACGAGGATCATGGAGATTGGTTCCTCTACACGGGAAGGTATATACTAAGTTTTTAGTTCCTAAGATATTTTTGATTCAGGTGACAAGGGAATAGTTACGATGCTTATTGGAGTTAATCAGCACATAAAAATAGTTCGGACATCACATGATGTATAGATTTTTAGTATATTTTTTATATGTGTGCTGTGAATATATACATCGTGTGTTTTATTACTAAGATCTTGCCAAAACTTTTACTTCTTCGGTTTTCATGTTTCTTGTTTTGCTTCTTAACGATTCCTTATTAGGACAACTTTGCTTTAATTTCTTCGTAGTTCTTCCTGTTTGTTTAATGATGACATCTTGTTTGTTGTATAACCTTATTAAATGTCACAGCGGCGGTCGAGATCTTAGTGGAAACAAAAGGACAAATAGCAAACAGTCCTTTGATCAGAAATTCGAAAGCTTCAATGAAGCATTGCGAATCAGCTGCCGACAAGGTTATCCTGTCCGGGTTGTGAGGTAAGCTGGTGCTTCTCTGCTTGGAACAGTAGTTGATAACTAAAATTGTGTCGACAGGCGATGATACTATTATCGTATTAGTTCCTCTTGATTTAGATTCATTAAGAATGTCGTAAGGGTGATGTAGGATTTTGGTGGCTGCATTTGCTCATACACTAATTTTTATATACATTGGCAGATCTCACAAGGAAAAAAGATCCTCGTATGCACCCGAAGAAGGTGTGCGCTACGATGGAATCTACAGGATCGAAAAGTGTTGGCGCAAGACAGGGGCTGAGGTAGAAAATCGATGTTACTTCATTCTTTGTTTACTATGTTCTGATATCGAAATGCTGAATTATTACAGAGATTCAAGCTCTGCCGATATCTATTTGTCCGCTGTGATAATGTGCCTGCACCATGGACAAGGTGGTTAGCTTTAGTAATTCACACATTTATATATATGTGTTCATGTGATAGCTGTATATGATGAACTTCATGATACTGTTATCCTGCAGTGACATCCATGGCGACCATCCGAGATCATCAGTACCTGTTGTTGAGGAGTTAACTGAAGCTACTGATATCACGGAACGACAAGGGAATCCTGCCTGGGATTACAATGTGAGAATCTCTACAAGCATTTCTTGATTTAGACACAACTTTATCGATTAACTAAGGTTTGATGCAGGAACATGAGGGCCGCTGGTTATGGAAAAAGCCTCCACCTGAGAGTCGAAAAGTGCGTGGCGAACTGAATGGCGATGGCAATGGAAATGGAACAAAGAAAAGAAAACGTCAGCACCACAACAAATCCACAAAACAGAGGCTTTTGAAAGGTAATTAAATTTTCCTCATTTGAATACTAAGAATGTTGTCTTTCCTGGAACTTATTGGATATTTCTGCTATGGTTTATTACATATAGTTTGTTGCTTATTTGATGCAGAATTCAGCTGCCTTATTTGTCGAAAAGTGATGGCACTTCCGGTCACTACGCCCTGCGCCCACAACTTCTGCAAGGCGTGCTTGGAAGGGGCCTTCGCCGGCCAGTCCTTTGTGAAAGAGAGGACATGCGGTGGAACAAGAAAGCTTCGAGCACAGAAAACTGTTATGCAATGTCCTTCATGCCAAAATGATATATCCGACTTCCTCCAGAATCCCCAGGTACACACATCATTCATCTTTTCTAATATTATTACTCCAAGACGTCGTTTGCAAAAGGTGGTTTTGAGTATGGTGAATCTACATACTACCGTAAATATAAATGATCAGTATATAAAATATAAATCAAAAAAAGAATTTCTATTAATATGATAGAAATGTAGAGCATATGAACATATGACAATAATTCACGCATCATATGCTACTATTAATATAACATAGAATATATGTTCAGTTCATATGCTATGTTAATTGAAATCATATGTTATTTGCCTATTTTTGACAGAGCATCACATGTCATAAATCTGTAGTATTTCGACATCCTGACAGTGATTTTGCCGGCAGGTGAACAGGGAAATGAAGGATATGATCGAGTCGCTGCAGAATGAGGTGAACGAAGAATCATCAAAAGCTGAAGCAGCGGAGAATGGGATGAGTGCCGGAGCAGAAAATGCAGACAGGGCAATGAATGAATATTAGATGGAAACTTAAATATTTTGAGAAATTTCAGCTCCTGATATTATGAAAGAAAGTGAGGACGACCAAGGCAGCGACAGCTTGTCTAACTGATCTTCACACTTGCATCGGAGAAAGAAAGACAAGCCTATGAAAAATTACAAGAGGAAGAAGATGAGGAAGAGAGCTAGCTGATGGTGTCCTTTAGGACGAGCTTATGGGACCGATGACAAGAAACTCACTTTGGCCAACAAAGCATAAGAGGTTGTTCTTCGACTCCAATGTCTCATTAAATTTATTGCGTGCAAATTATCACACATTTGCGCGCGCAACACATGGAATTGGCAACGGATGTAAAGACTACCAAGCCATAGCTGTTGCTAGTTCTTTCAAGGTGCAATCGACAAGATTGGCCCCTTCCGAGGCAGAGTTTGGTTGTGATTTGAAATTGATTTGAAATAGAGTATCGATTTAATTTTTTTTGTTTAAATAGTATTTTCATGTAAAATTGTATAAAGAGAAATAGTGTATTTTTATTGACAACCGTTGCCGAATAATGACTATTTTGAATATTGAGTAACCTTTTATACAATGATGTGTCGATGCTTTCAATTTTATCATTTCTAAATACATTATTTTTTTTATAGAATATTTTTAAAATAATAAAAATCAATTATATTTTATTAACAATTTTACAGTTCCAATAATTATCAACATTACTCCAAAAAAAAAAAAAAAAATCCTAAAAACTAAAAGAACTTCTCATTATTTTGTATATAAAAATTTTTCAACATGGAATCTAAATAAAATTAACAAGAGATCTACTCCCGGGATAAATCATCTACCCTACCATATAAACCACGCCAACTACAGAAGTCACACTGAATAAGCCCCGAGTGACATATTCAACTTAAACGTCAGCAAGATTTGAACCTATAATGGCAAGTGGGATAGGCGATCCAAACTTGTCCTGGACCCGCTACTAATGAGACAAGTTCAGGTCTAAAAGCTTACATTTTAGTAGTTCAAAGTTTCAAAAAATTTTAATCCAGGGCAAGCCATGGGTATGATGAAAAAATCCATCACTTGTCTAGGCAACGACACTAGCATGGTGACGCATGGAGGGCGGGCGAACTCAATGAAATTAGTGTTGCCATTGCTACTTACAAAGCAAATAGTGAGAAAGACGGCCTTTTAAAGAACATCAACGCTTGAAAAATGTAATTACTCTGAAAAATGTATGTGCCGATGTCTAAGATACGAGACACATTTTGGAAAACAATTATTCTTGTCAAATTGTAGTATCTTTATTATTTATTTAATTAAATAATATTTATAATTATTCAAGACTATTTAAAATTATAATATAAGTACCGAAATATTCGAAATATCTTATTTTTACCTATATTTCCATAAAAAATGTAACTATTTATAGTTACATTAAAAATGATCTTATTTTATTCAATTAACATAAGCTAATCTAATTTATTGCATATTTTAATATAATTGAATATTTAACTATTTATAGTTAGTATATAAATAATATATTTAAATGTATTGTTAATTTTAAGATTTTATATGTAATATATTTAGAAAAAATAATTGCGTTTAAAAAACAAAAATTAAAATAATTGATGGATAATCGATAAAATTCAAAAAGTTTTGTCCAATACTAAAAAAGGTATGTGAATAATTTAATAATTTGTATATTAAATAGACAATAATTTTTTGTTAAAAATTCATGAGTAATATATATTAAATATAAATATGTATATATTGTTAATAAATAAATTTATGATTTATAATATGTATATAGTTAAAATCTAAAAACTAACAAAAATAAATATTTTAAAGGAGATAACTAAATTTGACGTGGTAGATGATTAATTACTATAACGTCACGAGTTTGAATATGTGGTGTCATCTCGTGTTATTGTTATGGTATTATATTATTACATATTGTCACGAAAATATCACTAGTTTAGAAAAAGCCACCAACGAACTTTCATGGAGGTGGTTCTGTAAATCTTTCTGTAACTTTTGAGTAAAAATCACCAACTTATATTGAAATCGTAATTTTTTTTTTTTTTCGTAACTTTTGTCTAATTTTCTGGTAGTGTTTTATAGATACTAAAAATTAATTTTATATTAAAAATATCACATAATAACTATGGGACTTGTGTTTTCGATCCGTGGTTGGTTGAGGACGGTCTTTCGACCTTTATATATTCCATATAGTGTATGTAATACACCAATGTTCTTATACAATTTAAACTTGAAAATGTGAGGAGCTTGGAGCTCAAGATAGGGTGGGAAATTTCCCCATGATTTGAGAGAATACACCATTTATTTAGGAGAAAAATTTTAAGATTTTAAAGGTGAAAAAATAAAAAATAAAAAATCCTTAGATTAGGATATAAATGATTTTTTTTTTCGATATATTTTGCATTGTTTTTTATTAGTCGTTAGCGAATTTAGATAACGTAACAATGCGAATTTAGAGAAGGTTTTGACAATAACAATTCCAATGTAGAATTGAAAACAAGAAGTCGTAGATTTGTGTTTGTATCTTGCGATGCAAAAACACTTTCATTGGTAATAAAATTATTATTTTGCATTTTATCATGCTTCGAGTTGATGTTATTTCTAGTTGTAGTCTCGTAAATGGTTAAACTAGGTGACAAATATTTTTGTTCCTAGAGCAAGTACGCAAATATCCGGTGCATATGACCGGTTTTGAACGTTGTTTAAATACTTGAAAAAAACATGTTTGTAAATGACGTATTTATGTAATTTTAGTAGAATTAAAATATCTACTCACGATTTTGTAAAGTCGTCAATGTAAAAATTTATAAAGCGCGTACAATTATTTTCGGATGGTAAGTTACATAATCAAACACCGTTGCTTTCTCAAATTCATTTTTTTTTTTCTTTAAAACTACTTTACGATAGAAATTTATACATGGGTTTTGCTGATCTATATCCGGGCTTTCGCTTACTCTTTATCGTTCTGAAATGCAACTCTTATTGGATGGTATGTCCGCCAACTCATTTTGAATTAAACTTTATTATTTTTTATATTTATTTTCAAGAAACATACATGGATTTTGTTCTATACAAAATATTTCAGGCTAAAGACATATGATTTTTTCTTTTTAGCTTCTTGTTTATAAATTATTTCAATTACGACCATTTAAGCACTTTTATCGAATACTATGAGGTTCTTACATTCACTTTGTTTAATTTTATTTTTCAATTATAGGACAAACATATCCATTATATTTTGGATTATATAAGAACCAAATAATACTTGTTTGTGCTTTGGAAGTTGCCTAATGTTTTGGATGAAAACTAAATTTTATAATACAGTGTGTTTTGATAAAATATATATTTATATTTTATATTATTTTTAAAGTAAAAAGTATTTTAATATAAATTATATGGTAAGAACATATAAAAAAAATGAACAAACACGGTTATTAACTTTGGGGGAAGCTTTCTATTATACAAATAAGTAAAATACTTCATTCGTTATTCAAATCAACATTCAAATATTTTGGTACCAATTTTAATAAAATAAATAATAATTGTTATTTGTGTTTTTTTATAGTAAAAATACAAAAAAAGTGATACATATTGTTTACTAAAAAAAATAAAACAAAAATCTTTTATTATATATAACCATTCAAAAAGAAAAGTGAGAAGGAGGAAATGGAAAAATTCTCAAAAAATAGTTTGTTTGATTTTTATTTGAAATTGAGCTTTAATTGAAATAGGAATTTAATTTAATATTTTATAAAAAAAATAATAATATATTTTTAATAAAAACAATTTAGGTTGAATAGTAAGCATTTGATTTGAAATCTAACACATACACGTCAATTTTTATATAGCAATTGCAATTTATTTTAATTGTTAGGTAGCTAGAGTAATTCCAGCCCACATCGCCAAAATTGGGGGAGGGGCTCCAATCCATCCTCAAATTCCCCAATTTTTGCAACATTGTACAGTGTTATTCAATTTTTGCAGTGGAGTTTGTGTGATATTTTTGTGGTGTTTCTGTATTTTTGTTATTTTTTTGGGTATATTGTATAATTTTATTTTTTAGAAATATGAGATGTAATTTTATTTTTTTAAAAAAATAATGTATAATTTTATTTTTTAGAAAGTAATATAATTTTAGTTTTTAAAAAGTGATAAATAATTTTATCTTTCAAAAAGTGATATATAATGTGTAATTATATATATATGTGGGTTATATTGTAAAAATAAATTAAAATTGGGGTGTAATTTATAAATATAAAAAGTTATATAAAATAATATAAAAGAAGAATATACAGGGAATATACTTTTTAGAGTGAAAATTGAAATTTATACATGGAGCAAAATTACTGTATATCAACGATTACTGCAGAAATGAAGTAATGAGTTGGAGATAGTGTTAGAAATATTAATTAGGAGATCTCAAATTAATTGAATTTGAAATCTACTATAGGTATTTAAAATTAGTCATAAATTTAGCTTTCCTTCAAGGAACTTACTAATTATTACAATTATATATATATATGGTAATTAGTACATTTGATTCTGATTTTTTTCCTAAATAAGAAATTAATTAATGTATTTATCAAAATTTTATAATATCGAATTTTATACCTAAAATTTGTTTTTACTAAACACTCCTTCATTATTATGTGTGACAATATTATAAATTATTTACCAATAAAAATTTATAACAATTTATAAGTAAGATATTTAATATTTTAAATTTACAGATACGGTGAAATAAATGAAAATTTATTAACATTGTAAATTAAATATTATGCATATGTATGATCGAATGATATTTTATTCTGTAATTTTATACTCTAAACTATATTAATATATTTGAATTAAATCATGACAATTTTTTTCTTATTTTGCAGATATTGAATACTTAGAATCATATTTAATTCGGAAATATTCCTCGAGTCTGATTTTTGTTCAATTAGGAAAATATTAGGGGTGTTTTGTTTGGATTTTAAATTTAAATTAACACTCTTTAGATTATATATATACATTTTTTTTTCTTACAAAACATCACATTAATTGCAGCAAAGGTAAGAAAAACATTATTGTATAATTCTATTCAGAGTAAACTGTTGTTTTTTTAGTTCCGTAACTGAACCCTTATCATTTTAGTCATGTAAGTGAAGTCTGTCGCAAACTAGTCCCATAAGTGGAAAATTTTCGTTGTTTTAGTCCTCCGACGCCGGAGACGCCCGCGTGGCTCGCCGAAAGCCACGTGTCTGTCAAGTGTCCCGCCAAGTCAGCGACACTTGGCGGACACATGATTTTTTCTTTTAATTTTTTTTAATTTTTGTTTTTCAATTGGACCAAATAAAAAAATTTAAAAAAAACAAATAAAATAAAAAAAAAAATTTAAAAAAAAACTAAAAAAATGAAAAAAAAAATCCACGTGTCCACAAGGTGTCCGACACCTGGTGGACACGTGGCCTCCGGCGAGCCACGTGGGCGTCTCTGGCGTCGGATGACTAAAACAGTGAAAATTTTGCACTTATAAGATTAGTTTGCGACAGACTCTACTTACGTGACTAAAATGATAAGAGAGTCAGGACTAAAAAAAACCGTTTACCCTTCTATTTACGCGCAATTTTAGTATTATAATATATTTTTTTTTTTGTCAAAAATTAAATCAATCAATAGTAACCAAAATCCATTATTTTATGTATGTATATTTGGGGATAAGTTCAATTGCTCCATCTGCATGCAGATTCTGGACAGGCCTGCAGTTACGGTACGGATTACTCGTTTCCATCCATTAACTTTCAGAAATTCAATTTTGATCTTAAATCGTGAATCGCCATTTTTGATTGAGGAATTTTTTGAGTGCTTGAATTGAGAATGAATACTTTGGCAATGGCGGTAGTTAGTTGTTAGTGTTGCAGAGGACTTGCCAAAACGACGTCGCATTGCTGTGAATTTAATGATTCTTTTTTTAGGATCTCAAAGAAGAGCAATGAATGAATAGATGGAATCTTAAATATTTCCGGAAATTTTATCAAAGAAAGTGAGGACGATGAAGGCAGCCACAGCTTGTCTGACTGATCTTCACACTTGCATCGGCAATGGCAGTGCAGAGAAAGAAAGACAAGCCTATGAAAAATTACAAGAGGAAGAAGATGAGGAAGAGAGCTAGCGGATGGTGTCCTTTAGGACGAGCTTATGGGGACCGATGACAAGAAACTCACTTTAGCCAACAAAGCATGAGAGGTTGTTCTTCGACTCCAATGTCTCATTAAATTTCTTGCGCGCAAATTATCACATATTTGAGGGCGCGACACATGGAATTGGCAACAGATGTAAAGACTACCAAGCTATAGCTGAGGCAGAATTTGGTTTGATTTGAAATATGGTATTGATTTAATTTTTATTTAAATAGTATTTTGATATAATATTTTATAAAAAGAAATAATATATTTTTAGTGAATAGTGTCCATTTTGAATATTGAGAAACCTTGTATACCAATTATATGTTATTTGTTTACTTCAATATTAATTTGAGTTAGATTGGATATTTTCATCTTTAATTTTTTTTTCAATGAATTTATTAATGTTGTGGATTAATGATACAACATGTGTGTCTAGGCTTTCAATTTTTATCATTTCTTACTACATTTTTTATATAAAATATTTAAAAAAGAATATAAAAAGTCTATATTTTATTAACATTTTTACACTTCCAATTATTAGCAACAGAACTCCAAAAAGAATCCTAAAAACTAAAAAGAACTTTTCATTATTTTTTATGTAAAATTTTTCAACACCCACACCAACAAGCCATCCCTTACCTTACGGGACATATTTATACTAGGATAAATATATATATATATATATTTAAAATCACTTCAATATACCTTTTAATTCTGGAAAGGTATTACTCATTAACAAGAGATTCAATATTTTCACTTATGGATAGTGCTTTAGGCTGAGTGATATTCGATAGTTTCTCCACTCGACTAAAGAAGGAAGAATAATTTGTAGCAAAGAAAGTCCCAGCTAAAAAGCATTCAAGCCCGGCAATATTCATAGCTTGGTAGTCAGACCACTATATAGGGAGATCCATACACCAAATCATGAGCTATATTGCTCATACCGCCGGAGGCGGAAGCAGCCGAGTTGATACGATAGGATAAAGTAAAGTCAAATCAATGAAATGAACACCCAATCAATGTCTACAGTTAGAAGCATCTCCGTAATGAATAGGATACCGTTATCTTTCTAAGGCTCCTTTTCTCATTATCATCTACAGCCCCTTCTTTCCTCCCGGCTATTCACACATGAAGAAAAAAGTATGAATGCTCAACAAAGGTTGCCAATGAATATGTAAGAGTACATTACGGCAAGATCGGTCATCGGGAATTTATTTTCTATCATATAAAAAATAAATTATTCCTCTCATTAAAAAAATGCTTAAGAACTAAAGTCAACCATGATTTCAAAGGGTTGGTGCAAGTAAAGGTTTGTTTGAGGTTGGATGGATATATTATTTTATATTAGTTATCGTACTTTTTTTTTTTAATTTACTATGAGAATTAATAATTTCTATCATTTGAACGTACATTGGGTAAACCTTCAAATCAACCCAATAACTAGAAACCACGCCAACTATAGAAGTCGTCCTAAATAAACCCCAAGTGACATATTCAACTTAACGCGTTGTCAAGATTTGAACTCATAATGGCAAGTGGGATAGGTGATCCAAACTTGTCTAGGCAACACTGGGATGGTGATGCATTGCCACTGCTGCTTACAAAGCAAATAGAGAATAAGACGACATTCTAAAAAACATCAAATGCTTGGAAGCGCGCTTTTGTTCTCACTCACGCGCACTTTAAAAGACTTTCCGGGGATGACTCATCCTCAAATTACTCTAAGACAAGCACGCTTAACTTTACAATTCTTTTAGTAGGCCTCCCGAAAAGGAACATACACATTGTTGACATGAGTAGTATATTAATTCATTTAACTTCTAATCAACTTCGGATGGCCTAATACCAACTCATCCACACACGGAAGTTGGCCAAGCAATGGCACAACTCCGGGGTATCACAATTAAATTTTTTAATTCAAAAATTAAATTTAAAAGACAAGAGATGCAATCCCAACATCTAGAGTTTGAGTATGAAATATGATTCGAGCCTAGCAACTTTTCGATTCAAGTGAAAGGACACCTCTATGTCTCTAGTTCTTGGTTTCTATGCTACTCACATCTATTGTATGTTTAAACTAATCAAAATATTAACAAGAGCAATACAATATATTTTGGGATAATTATATCATTTTTTTTCTTTTTTTTATTTGATGACTAAACTTATACATTATTTATGTATAATAAAAGAAAATTATCAATTACAATTTCATTACTAGTATTTTACCGAATACTAACTAATTTTCCACTACTTTTTCTACTTATCCAACTATAACTTTATCAACTCTTTAATGGATTTTTTATAATATACTATTTACTTTTTATCTACACTTCTTTTATATTTCAATACTATTATTACAATATGGTGTAAATGAGTCATGACAGAGAGAGTATAATACACACATTATGCACACCATAAATTCCAAATAGTTATATGCTTAAATAGAGAAAGATAACATAATAACTAATTTCACAAAGTTAAAGCAATATACCAGCAAAACACTATGCAAATAAATAAATCAAAATATACACTAAATAAAAAAAATATTCACATCAGATGTATCACATTACGAGGAAACTAAAGACGTATGCCACAAACAAATTGTCACAGAATGTAATACCAGTATAACCAACAATGATTGCCAAGCAGTAAAGACCAGCAAGCTGAATGCAACAGATACCAAACCAATAGCCTAAGTACCAGCAGAAACTACACCTCCAAGCAGTGCAACAATGGCTAACAGATAATTCAGCGGTGGTGGAACATGAATGTATCGTCCGAATGCACGAAAAAAAAAAAAAGAAAACCTAACCTCTAAGCATATAACAATAACTACCAGCGCACGGTACCATTCAGAAGGCGAATGTACACTACAGTGCCCCTCTTTTAGATGCGTAAAGTGGAAATAGAAATGGAATGACGAAAAGCAGGAACATATCACAAACCGCAGCATTAGATGAAAATGCCACTAGATAGTGTGATGCAATGTGGAACAATAAAGGAGAGAACAAAAGATTCAAAGTGTGCACACAACTCTCGAGCTGCCCAAGAATGAAATTATCAGCAGGAACATGGTAACTCAGTTCCTGCTTAAATTTGAACGAGGACACACGAGGAACCGAGTAGAGACAGTAGAAAATGCAGTTAAAAATCATCAGATAGTAAGCAGCATTTATCATACCAACGGCAGAAACAGTTGTCCAGGTGAGGATATGAGCGGAACAGAGGCAAACAGTGAGAACGAGGGACACGAAATCGAAGGTGTTAAAGAGGGAAGAACTGAAGAAAAATGTAATCTGCACCACATGTGGATGGTTTGAATAGAGAATATAGTTTTTATGTAATATTTTATATAAGCATTTTATCCCCTAAAAGAGAATTTACGCTGCAAAGCTTTTTCATAAGTTCAAAAAGCTAAAGAAGGCTTTTCATATTTAAACTTCCTCTGCATTTATTCCCACATATTTGATGTATTTTGTATCTCACATACATATACATATGAACGCTATATAAGTCATACCTATCAAGCACTAACAAAAACGATGAGAAGACTACAAAAGACAGTGATGATACTACACATACTTTTCAAAATAACCTCATAAATTTCAGGCAAAAATGTATAGCCCAATTACCTACTGAACATAAACATGGAAAAGGAGTTAAGCACCTGTAACCTTATTGAGATTCTAAGAGCTCTTCTCCTTATCAAGTTTTGCAATGAGCGCCGCCTTCTCCTCTTGCGGCAGTGCATTGAATATGAAGACTGATTTATCTCCTATATCGTCCTGAAAATGAATAATTTTATCGCTCATTGAAAGTGATAATTATACCATGTACAGTTGTTGAACATTGGCGAAGATTGTCGAAATGTTGGTGAAAATATAAACAAGATCTAATGACTAAATGCATCGCATAATCTACCTTGATGGGCTGAGTGAACTTTCTACCAGCAAATACCACAAAAAGTGCCATCCAGACACCGAGTAGAGTGAGCTTTGTATTGTCATCCATCAAACCCGTCTGTACACGAGTGAAACATGCCATTATTTTGGTAATGCGAAATATTCACACCCCAACTGAGGGAACATATTTTGTTCATTTGGGAAAGTTGTGAGGCAGGAAATTTTCATGACACATGAGACATCTGGGAAATTCGTTGTCATCTATAATCCAACGAAATAGTACAAAGTCCAACAGTATGAGCCTTACAAGGTGCCCAAGCATGACCGATGGAATGATGAATGTGAGTATGCCAGCTTCCAATTTCCCATAACAAAGCCCTATGATAAATAAACATGTTAGAAATTAAAACCAAGACTATGCCAAAAAGCTCGGGGAGTAAACATTTCAATTTACACATAGCTATTCCAATTCAGTAACATAATGAATTTGGATAAATCTCAGTTGATATTTCATCACTAGATATGGAATAAAAGTTTAGCAAATCTTCCAGTTCTGCATCAAAATGCAGTGCCAAGATCCAGATGTGGTAAATGCACCACGTCATATTCAATTTATCACTTTTGCATCAACCAAATAACTAATGTTCTTCCAGTTTTAGCTGATATCTTTGAATCTAAAAATTTGCCAAATAAATATGCAGAGGAATTACATTAGGCAAGTAATCAAGCAACAAGACACTTTCTGAGCTCTTAACATCATAATCATCAAATAACTGTTCATACCTTCCCATTTCAATTTATACAAAACTATTTCAATTCAGTGATGAATTTGGATAAATCTCAGTTGATATCTCACCATAGATACAAAGTAAAAGCTTAGCGAATCTTTCAGTTCTGCATCAAAATGCAGTGCGAAGATCCAAATGCACCACATCATATTCAGTTTATACTTTTGCATCAACTAAATAACTAATGTTCTTCCTGTTTTAGCCGATGATCTTTGAATCCAACAATTTGCCCAATTCAAATTCAGAGGAATTACATTAGGCAAGTAATCAAGCAATGAAACACTTTCCAAGCTCTTGAACATCATAATCATCAAATAAACTGTTCATACCTTTCCATTTCAGTTTATACAAAACTATTCCAATTCAGTGACATAACGAATTTGGATAAATCTTAGTTGATATCTCACCACTATGTATGAACTAAAAGCTTAGCAAATCTTCCAGTTTTAAATCTCAGTTAGGGGATGCCAACCACTATATATAGACAGTCCTGGCCAGTTTTAAATCTCAATTGATATCTCACCACTAGGTATGAACTAAAAGCTTAGAAGATTTTCCAGTTTTGCATCAAAATGCAGTGCCAAGATCCAAATGCACCACATCATATTCAATTTATTATTTTTGCATCAAAAAAGTCACTAAAGTTCTTCCACTTTTAGCTGATGATATTTGAATCTAACAGTTTGGCCAATTCAAATGCAAAGGAATTACATTAGGCAAGTAATCAAGCAACAAAACACTTTCCGAGCTCTTAACAACATAATTATCAAATAAACTATTCATACCTTCCTATTTTAATTTATATAAAACTATTACAATTCAGTAACATAATGAATTTGGACAAATCTCGGTTGATATCTCATCACTAGATATGAACTAAAAGCTTAGCAACCTTCCAGTTCTGCATCAAAATTCAGTGCCGAGATCCAAAAGCACGACATCATATTCAATTGACCACTGTTTCATCAACTAAATAACTCATTTTCTTCCATTTTTAGCTGATGATGTTTGAATATAAAAATTTGCCCAATTCAAATGCAGAGGAAGTACAGTAGGCAAGTAATCAAGCAATGAAACACTTTTCGAGCTCGTAACATCATAAACATCAAATAAACTGTTCATACCTTCCCATTTCAATTTATACAAAACTATTCCAATTCAGTAACATATCGAATTTGGATAAATCTCAGTTGATATCTCGTCACTAGATATGAAATAAAAGCTTAGCAATCTTCCAGTTCTGCATCAAAATGAAGTGCCAAGATCCAAATGCACCACATTATCAATTTATCATTTAATGTTCTTCCAGTATTAGCTGATGATCTTTGAATCTAACAGTTTACCCAATTTAAATGCAAAGGAATTACATTAAGAAAGTAATCAAGCATAGAAACATTTTCCGAGCTCTTAACATCATAATCATCAAATAAGCTGTACATACCTTCCCGATTTAATTTATACCAAAATATTCCAATTCAGTCACATAATGAATTTGGATAACTCTCAGTTGATATCTCATCACTAGATATGAAATAAAAGCTTAGCAAATCTTCCGGTTCTGCATCAAAATGCAGTGCCAGGATCCAAATGCACCACATCATATTTACTTTATCATTTTTGCATCAATCAAGTAACTAATGTTCTTCCAGTTTTAGCTGATGATCTTTGAACCTAACAGTTTGCCCAATTCAATGCAAAGGAATTAAATTAGGCAAGTAATCAAGCAACAAAACACTTTCCGAGCTCTTAACATCACAATCATCAAATATAACTGTTCATACCTTCCTTAAACACAAGGCCAGTCAAAGCAGCAAACAGCGGACCAACAAACCACACAGCCGTCGGATTCTCAACAACATACTCCACTAAATTCTTCCCAGCTGGCTGAGCCAGAGCAGCGTACGTCGCCAAGGATCCCACCGCACCAACCGCCCACAGCGCCTGCAGCGTGCGCTTAATCTCCGTCACATATATATGTATCAGATACAGAGACAAACCCAATCCACAAGCTCCTAAACCATAAAACAAGTCCAAATTCCCCCGAATCAAATCAAACACTTCCACATCGCTATTCCGCAGAAAAGCCGCAGAAGATGCGATCACAAACGAGGAGGCAGCGGCAACTAGTCCCGATCTGTACAGAACTACCTCCTGAACATCAGACGATTCGACTTTCCATGGACCGTAGGCGCCTTCGTATACAGCTGTAGCCTCCGGCCGTTCTCCCACGGCTTGGCATACGACCGAAAGCAACGAAAGGCAGCAGCGACGGCGATTGACCGACGGCGCATTCCGGCGAAGAATCCGAGCTTTAGGCAAGGGTTTGAGGTGGAGAGGAAGCACAAGTGTAGGAGCAGCCATAGCCATTTTGGAGCTGATATATTATAGTTAAGCACAAAGTGGGAACCCAACCAACACTGCCCGCTAATTTTGGATTAGTCGTTGCGAAATGAAAATTCTTTTTATTTATTATTACTATAAATATAATATTTATTTATTTATATATGTTTGTGACAAATAATTAAATATGGACACGCTAGATATTTTAAGCACAAAAAATATCTGCCAAATTTGTGCCAATCATAGCCCAAGTTCAAAATATTTAGAAGCCCATTCAAATACTCAGGCTTAATTATAATGTATATTAACTAGCCCATATAGAAAGCCCAATTATATGTTGGTGGGCCGACCTCAATTATCGAGCCACAATCAAATTCTTTAAATTGGGCTTTCATAACCCATGTAGGCCCAAATAGAAGCCTAATACTAATACAAATGTCTTTTAAATTGGGCTTTTAAATTGATATTTTTATCTATTATGTAAAAAAATATATTATTTTTGTAAAAGTTAAAAAGATATTTTAATATTTATATATAACTTTTTTTATCTGAGTATATACATGAATTGTTTCTACTATAATACTTCCTCCGTCCCATAACAAAATATTCATTTCCTTTTTTTTTTTTTTAGTAATTGTACTATCTACTAATATTACAAATAATCTTCCAATTTACAATATATTACACAGATATCATTACATTTATATCATACAATACTAATAGGATTAATTTAATATTTTTTACATTTATTTCTATTTTATCTCAATATAATACTAATATTTCTAAAATTCCGTACAAAAAGCAAATAGATATATAGATATGGGACGGAGGGAGTAAAAAATTGTAAAAGTAGTACATTAAATTGGGATATTATATAATATTAAACTAACATTTTATCCGTTTACTTATGAAGTATACATTCTGTCATTTTTTGTTGTCTAAATACAAAATATCATTTATTTTTTCTTTTAAGTATATTTGGATCTCACAATGCATTACAAATATTCTTACATTTATACTTATTTACATCAATAATCTCACATTATATATATTATATTATATATTATAAAGTAAAATAGTCTTTATATACCAAAACTATCACTAACTATCATTAAAATAAAATATTTATTAAATTATACACAAAAGATAAATATTTATTATCTAAGTGGACGGAGGGAGTAATTTGTTTAATTTTATTTGAAATTGTTTTAAAATAAAATATTAATTTAATTTTAATTTAGATAGTATTATAATACGATATTTTATGAAAAATATAAATACTCCCTCCGTCCCATTGAAAGGTTGACATTTTCTATTTTCATTCCGTCCCAAAATAAGGTTACCATTTCATAATTTTAGTAATTATACTACCTACCTAACATCACTACAAGAAAAAATCATTTTTGTAACAAAACGTTTTTGTCTCTAAATCTACTTTTTCCGTTACTAATGACATTAGAGACGGAATTAGGAATGGAATTACGTTAGCTACGTGAACTTTAGGGACGGAATTTCGTTACAAATATATTATTTTTTTGTAGTGCATAATAAATATTTTTCAAACTTATACAATATTACACAAATATCATTACTTTTATATTACACAATATAAATAAGGATATTTTTGTCTTTTTTACTACAATTTATTATAATACTAATATTAAAAAATCTACGACAAAAAGTAAACGTAAATCTTGCACGGCGGAGGAAGTATATATATATTCTCTTACTTTTATTGATAACTTTGCCCGTTTAGTTTAAAATGTCATAATTATTTTACAAATTTTCTTTCTTTCATTTATTTATTTATTTTTATTCTCTTAACTACTACTATAATAAATAAAAATATTTCAATAATAAAAAGAAAACTATTAAAATAATAAGGTTTGTATAAACTTAGGCTTTGTTCTCTATTGATTTTTTATACATATTTTTTCCAAAAGTTAATATATACATATTTATTATTTTTATATTTTTTTACAATTTTCATATTTTATAAATTAAAAGAAATATATATATATTTTTTTCAACAATCTAAAAAAAACAAACACACCCTAAGTTCTAATATATATTAAAATACTTAATTAGAATGATGTGCACACAAAAAATTTGCTTTGTATGGCTTATTTTATTGATTTAAATTGCAAGCTCAGGAAGAACAATGGCGGTAGGTTTCTACATTACTGAAAAATTTAATGTGTTTATCTGGGGATTGGATTAGATTTCTCCTGTTAATCTCATTTGTTTTTTTCCCCCAAAAATATTAAATCAAACACCTATTTTTTATATTTTATATTATACTAAAAATTAATTTTATATTTAAAACATCACATCAACACCTATTTATATCACATCATACAACTATTTAATTCAAAATTTTTAGTATTCAAATCCCAACTTAAAATCCAAACCCCCGAACAAACAAACGAACGAATCAAACAAACACAGCCTATTAGTATATGTGGAGAGAAAGGGACGGAAGGGTAGTGCGGAGGGACAGGAAGTAAAAGCGTAGGTGACTAAACGGCGCCGTAGCCGCAATCTTTGACACTCTATAGAAGAAGGTTGGGTTGTTTATTAGTATTAGTATTACTCCCTCCGTGCCGCATAATATATCCATATTTTTATTTATATCCGTCTTATATTTTATGTTTTTTTTTTTTTAAAAAATAATTATGCATCTTAATCTCATTTGAGATTAAATTTTAAATTTAATTTTTTTTAATTTTAATAAAATTAATTAATTATTTTAATCTTAATTTATAATAATTTATATTATATATTAATTATTTTTACTAATACATTTTTAAGTATTTACTAATTATATTTAATCTAAATTTTTGTGCCTAAGCAAGACATTTATTATGGGACTGAGAGAGTATTATTATTATTATTATTATTATTATTACTACTCTCTATGTCCCATAATTATGTATTTGTTTATTTTTTGCACGTAGTTTTAAAAATATTAGTATTATATTAAAATATAGTAGGAATAAAGTATAAATAACTAAAATAACTTTATTAGTATTGTGTGATATAAATGTCACAATATTTGTGTAATTTATTGTAAATTGTAATGATATTTGTAATGTTAGTAGATAATACAATTACTAAAAAAAAATAGATACATAAGACGGACTAAAATAGAAAAATAAAAATTTAATTATGGGACAGAGAGTATATAAAATATGACAATGGATTCCCACTTGATCAAATATTAATTTTACCTGATCAACGTATGTAAGAGAGATATACAATGTAATCTATATACAATATATTTATTTTGTTCCATATTTATCTATTCGTTTATTTTTTGCACAAGGTTTTAAAAATATTAGTATTATATTAAGATGTAGTAAAAATAAAAATAGAAAGATTAAACTAACTTTATTAGTATTTTATTATATAAATGTAATGATATTTGTATAATATTTTATAAATTAGAAAGGTATTTGTGATGTTAGGTAGATAGTATAGTTACTAAAAAAAAATGGATAATTTTTTATGAGACGGATTAAAATAGAAAAATCAATAGTTTGTTAAGTGGCGGAGAGAGTAATATATTAATAATCTAGTATATATTTTATTATAATACAATATATAGTTTGTTATAATATAGTAATATACTCCCTCCGTCTCAATTCAAAATACATTTTTACAATTTTCGTCTGTCCTACTTCAAAGTATCTCTTTTCTATTTTAGAAAAAATAGTTATATACTAATACCAAAATATCCTTAATTTTTACTTAAATTACAAATATACTACTCCCTCCGTCCAATAAGTAAATATTCATTTGCTTTTTGCACGTAGTTTTAAAAATATTAGTATTATACGGAGATATAGTAGGAATAAAGTAGAAATGACTAAAATAACATTATTAGTATGTGTGATATAGAGATAATGACATTTGTATAATATATTGTAAGTTGTAATGATATTTGTAATGTTAGATAGACAATACAATTACTAAAAAAATAAAATGAATATTTTGTTATAAGACGGACTAAAATAAAAAAATAAATACTTTGTTATGAAGATGAATGAATTATTACACATATAATTATTTTATACATAAAATCAAATAGTAAAAATATCAAAAAAAATTTAAACACTTTTATTAATTAATAAAATATTATTATTTTTTAATTTATTATAACAATCTAAAAAAATTTTATTTATTTATTTATTTTATAACGTGGAAACTGGTTGCAGCTACTTTAAAACACTCTTTGATTAAGAATTGAGGTAGTATAAAGTGTCTATGTTGATACAATTCTTTTTTTTTTTTTTTTTTTCTTTAAAGAAAATGGCAGAAATGCTTGTGCAATGATTAGATGGTTTAAAATACATGTGCATGGTAGTAATCATCATCTCTCTTCAATGTGCTCTTTTCTCTGTGTGTGCTCTTTTTATTACTCTCTCCCTTGCCCCGGCATGGATATAAATACGAGAATTTAGGTTAAATATAATTAATAAATATTTAAAAATAATAATTAATATATAATATAAATTATTATAGATTAAAATTAAAATAATTATTTAATTTCATTAAAATTTAAAAAAATAAATTTATAATTTAAAATAAAATTAAGATGCATAATTATTTAAAAAAAGAAAAAGAAAAATGACATGAGACGAGGGATAAATATAAACGAAAATATGGACATGGTATGTGGGACGGATGAAGTATTATTTATTTTTTATATTTTATAGGTTTTTAATTTTGTTGTTTTTGAATTAAATGGAGTATAATATTGTGAATGAAGTAGTTATACGTGTGTTTGTTCGAGGGATTTGTTTGGATTTCCACTATTCATTCTATTTTACCCCCCAAAACATCAAATCAAACACTTATTTTTTATTTTTTATATTATACTAAAAATCAATTTTACATTCAAAACATCACATCAACGCCTATTTATATCGCATCATACAATTATTCAAATTCAAAATTTTTACTATTCAAATTCCAACTCAAAATCCAAACCCACAAACAAACCCACTCTGATGAGATTGCATATTAAAAATTAAAGTTGTTTGGTTGTGTTTTTTTTCACATATTTTTCTTATATATATATATATGAAAGATTTTAGTTCATATATTTTTATTTTTATTTTTATTTCTTACGTTAATGTAGCTAGTACTTGTGTATTTGTTACAATTAACCTCATAAAATAGGTTTTAGTTCATGAGTTTGGATGAATTGATTGATTGAGTTAATATGTATGCTTGCTTATTTTGGAAATTGATCAAAATAATTTTGAAATTATGTTTGTGTTTTTTTTTTTTTTTTTTCTAAAATCTTCCAAAGTTTAATATTTGGATTATACATTTTTTTTTAAAAAAAAAAGATATATATATATATATTTTTTACAAAATATTTCTTAATCATTATTTAAATACAAAATTCAAACAAAATTTTTTTCAAATCAAACCCAAAAAACCACACAAGTAATTAAAACTAGTCAATATTTGTTTATACTTAATTTAAAAGATATTTTCATTTATACTCTAAATATATAATATATTCAACATTTTTTCAATTCAAAATATCATTCAGCACTAATTTTTACTTTAAAATTTTCAAAGCTCAAAATATAATTAATCGTGTTGGGAACTCCCATTTACGGATAAATAAATTAATAATATATTTTTTTAATAATTTGAACTTTTAGGTGAGAAGGTTATTCTGTACATTCGGACCTATAAATCTCATGCATTACTCGAAAATTACAAATAGAAAGCAAATAAGTTATTTACAAGTACCCTATACCACTAGGCTATCCCTTAAGAGACATATATTTTGTTATTTTTGTTTGTCCGTTATGGATACCTTTTCTTTTTAGTTAATTTAAAAATAAATATTTTTAAATTTACATTTGTTTACATCAAATTAAAACAAAAATGGCAAAAGAAAATTTACATTGCAAAATGTAAATATCTATCTTGCGAGGACAAGAGTATAATTTTACTACATATTTTTTTTTATAGAATATTCTATTCAAACTACTATTGAAATTCAAAATTAAATCAAAAGTAAATAAATAAATCACCAAATAAACACGCTAAAAGAGCAATAATATAACATTAAAAATATACTATCCAATAATTTAAAATATTTATTAAATCATACAAGAAATGACAATCAAGAAATACATTGAATCATCATGGCAAATGAACAACAAAGAAATAAAAATAAAAACTGTAAACATATATATATATATATATATTTTTGTAATCACTATCATGAATCGAAAACCACAAATTAATTCAATGAAATCACACCATAATTCTGATCTTGATCATCAAATCCATCCTCATAATCAAAGCTTATGGCTCATCAGATATCAATATAATTATCCATGGATAGATGATGATGATTTACAAATCCACAAATTAACTTCTACATTAATCGTCATCCATCCTGATTCCCACTGTCTTCCAAAACCCCATCAAAGTTAATAAAATCCGACCCATAAAATTGGCCTGAAAAATTAGTGCCATATTGCTGCTGCGCCGCCGCCGGAGCGGCGCAATCCGGCGCCGTCGGTGTGGCGGCGCCCCCGCCGTAAAGAGCTGAGGTCAAGAAAGGGAACTCAGCGTCGTTGCTAGAAGATAATAGCTTGGCATACTGCTGAATCCCTGGAAATGTGTTGTGCATCAATGGATCTAATTGGGAAGACATCGACGGCGACGGCGACGACAATCGGGTTTGATGATGACTCGTCGATGACTCGCTGGTGCTGATGTAGCGAAGCTCGGTCCTGCCTTGGACGCGTTCGGGGAAATTGAGTTTGGCTTTGGCGCCTTTGAAGTTGAGGGCGGCTTTGTCGTAGGCTAGGGCGGCGTCCTCGGCTGTATCGAATGTGCCGAGCCAGACGCGGGCCGCCTTTTTCGGGTCCCGAATCTCGGCGGCCCATTTGCCCCATGGCCTTTGTCTCACTCCTCTATAGTGTCTCTTCATAGTTCCTTTGATCATCGAAAGTTATTAGTGCTTAAATAAGACAATGCATTGTATATTGATAGACAACATATGATATAATTATAAACATCTTGTGAACTAATATAGTGCTGATTTGACTGGATCAAAATATATAATATACATAACCGGTATATATATTCACACATAGTACAATATATTGTTGAGTTATAATATAACATATATTGTATTATAAATATGCTGAAATATATATCAATATATTTTAATTATTGTATAGTATACATTGATCCGGTCAAATCAGCACCATGTTGACTTGATCGGATCAGCGGTTGATCCATGTCCATTATAAACAATATAATATTTATAATAATATAATACAAATACAATATATGAAGTAATAACATATGATATAATTTTATACAATACAAACTATCATTGATTTCAACATATAACAAAGTCTCAGAGCAGACAACACATACTGTGTAAAATAAAAATATGTGATGTATACTTATTTTATATGTAATAACGGAAAAACTAGGATAATATTGATATGTTCTTACTAGTATAGTAATTGTTTTCATTTAAATAATATTGTTGTGTTAAATTGTAAAAGTAATTTATAAAATAAATAGTACAAAAACAAAGTCGAAACGGGGACAAAAACTCCTTATATTATGATTTTGACATATCATCAATAATGTGGGTAAGATTTCGTCCAAGAAATCATATGTTTGTATGTAATCAATTTGATAGCTACGAGGGTTTTCATATATATTCTCAATGACTACATGAACAGCATTGTGAAAACGAAATCCACTTAGAAATAACACACCAAAATTGTAACATCAATAAAGGGTGAACACAATTTCAGATCTTGTAAAAAAAAAAAAAAAAAACCCTTGAAGATGAATGATCAATTTATGAGCAAGACATGACAAAAGTATGAATTACTACAGCAAATTATTTCAAAAAAAAAAACCACACACATTTATAAATGTGTATATATATATATATACACATCAAATAATTTCATAGTAGACGTGTTAGGATTGAGTAAATCAGCAAAGAAATTATATTTAAAGAGGCAATTGATGGTGTGTAAACAAGTGTAAGATTCTCACATGTGAGAAAATTGTCCAATTCTTGTCTGAGAGAAAGATCTAGAGTGAGAGTGAGAGAGAGAGAGAGAGAGAGAGAGAGTTGGACAGTCCTTTACGGAAAGTAACATTCATACAATTCATACTACATTCAATGAATTTGGCTAATTTAACCACAAAAATGTTTGCCTCTATTATCACTTCTACATTTTTTTTCTTACATAGTCTACACTTTCACAACTACTCCCCCTAATCTAAACCAAAATTAAAGACAATATAGACATATATAGATACACATATACATACATATATATATACATATGAACACTATTCAGCGATGATGAAATCAAGAATTTTTGGTAGGTTTGAAAGTCGATCCATTTTGTTTCACTTCTTAAAATAGAAGAAATTTTCAAGTTACAAAAAAAGGGTTTTCTTCACATATTGTATATACATACAAATATTTTTTTGTATGCTTGTGTATATATATGTATGTATACCTTGATGTTGTTGAGCTTCTTGAGCAGTCTCCGCCGCCGCCGCCGGCGGCGGCAGCGGCGGAGCAGCAGCATCTTCAAAAGTGTTGCCGGCGCCGGTAATTCTAGTGAGGCTAGGGAACATGGCGGCGGCGGAAGCATCGCCGCCATATGCTCCGCCTAGCGCCGCCGTCGCTTCCATCGGAAGTGCCCTCTTTCCATGCCGCCGATCCACCTTGCAATTCTTTTGTTTTTTTTTTTTTTGAATTTCTAACACCCTTTTTGTAGCAAATCTATTTTCTGAGATTAAATATTTATTTCCCAAAAAACAATCTTGGCAGCAACCCTAGCTAGCTCGATCGATCGATCGATCTATCAATTTTTCTGTTGGCGATTCACATACGGCTGTGGCAAGTCGACATCAAGGAGGAGAATTTAAGGGCAAGAATTGGTGTGGCTAAATGGAAGCTAAGGTGTCTCTATCCACACACGAAAAAAACAAAAGAATAACAAAAAGGGGAGAAATAAAAATAAATTATAGGGTTTGGAATGAGATTTGTGTGTTTGGTTTATCTTTCAAAACACAAATCTATTAAAAATAGACTCCTTTCGTCCCAATTCAAAATTCACTGTATCATTTTTATTATTTTCGTTCATTCTATTTCAAAGTATTCCTATATATTTTAGAAAATTAATGATACACTAATACTAAAATATCTTTGACTTTTATTTAAATTACAAATATATCATTACACATACAATTACTTTATACATAAAATGAAACAGCAAAAATGTCAAAAAATTATTACATATGCTAATAAAATACTATTATTTTTTAATTTACTGGAAAACTCCAAAAAACTCTTTGATTTGGGACGAAGATAGTATTATTTTATCTTACAAAATATCACGTCAAATAGTATAATCAAAACTCAAATCAAACACTCAATTTTAAACCAAATTCAAACAAACTTCCTTGGTGGCATGTGGGCTTTTGTTTTTTTGCTCCCCTCTCACTATTACAAGCCAAATTATAGACTTTCTTGGGATGGGATTATTTCAAGAACTAGAAAAAAGCAAAAAGGGCTCATGGGAAAATATAATTTAAAAATGAATTAAACTCGAAAACACATATGCATACATACATATATATATATATATGTATATAAGATATAGAACATAGAAGTCCTGAGTAGCTAGAGGTGTAGGGATTGTTACACAGATCTGCTTTTGAACTTGGAGATATGTTTGATTTCAGACAAAAGTGTGTGATGACAGAAGAAGACAAGATGGAGGTGATAAGAATACATACATAATACATTCATACATATATATATATATATATAATGTAAATTTTTGACTCGATCTGGTGAGAACACATTCAGGCAGGCAATTATATTATATATATATATCTTTGGACTTTGGTTTTGGTCATTTGTCATGATTCTGAGATGCATGCATTTTATGTATTGTGATAATGAATTGGCATTTGGCCAGTTTTCTGTTTTGTTTTTTTTTTTTTTTTATATAATGTGTGAACATGTGCAAACGTTATTTTTCGATTGCGTTTTGGATAGATTTTTGTTTGAACATGTCCGAATAAATAACAAAAAGAATTTGTGGCAAATTGGAAGTTGAATTGTTCCTCAGTTATAATATACTCATTCCGTTTACAAATTAATGTCTTATTTTTTTATTTGGAACGTTCAATAACTATTGTCCTATTTTTCTTTTTAAACACAACTTTTACTTCATTTACCATTTTTAATCTCTATCTTACCCTAAAGGATAAATTTGTCAATTCACAAGAGAAAAATAATTACTAAAAAATTGCACAAATATATTTTAGAATAATAGAAATTAATAATGATAGTTAATAATTAACTTGGATGGTATATATGCCGCTATATATAGTTTAGATTTTTATTATTATTTTTTTTTACATGGAACTTGTAAGCACTATTTTTAGTGTGCGTTAGGTAAATTTTCGACTAATTGCAATAGCCTGGAAATTGTCGACAATGTAAAATACACTTAGGCAAGTCTTGTAGGGTAGGTAAGACTATTTTTAAACCCATGACTTCAATTCTTTAGAGCATTGGATTATTGTTTTCGATTTTGTTGTAATGTTACTACAATTATTTGTGTTACTTTACATTCAATTTTATACTTCATCCGTCCAACTAAAAAGTATACATATTTCTATTTTGAGACGTTCAATTATAAAATAATATTTCATAAAATACCTTACTTTTTTCACAAATACTCTTACTTTACATCACATTATTACTTTTACACCAAAAAACAAGGGCAAAAATGTCATTACACTACTTTTAACTACTCACTATAATTAAAATATTATTATTTTTTAAACACCGCGCTAAAAGTAATTGTATACTTTATGAGTGGACGGAGGGAGCATTTTTTTTAAATAACGTAAGAATTCACAGCCGCTATTCGTCACACTAATACCCTGCAAACTAGGTCCGATAAGGTAAATTAGACTAGATGAACTATATGTGGCAGGTAGACCAGACATGTGAAAATTTTGCATATTTGATTGTAGGTTTCTTAGGTTGTGTTTGCTTGTAGCGTTTTGAATTTAAGTTTTGAATATTAAAATTTTAGATTGAAATAGTTATTTGATTATGTATTAATATGATATTTTGAATATAAAACTAAAATTTAATGTAATATAATAAATAAAAATTATATATTTTATTGATTTTTGGAAGGATTTTAAAATAATAAAAAAATCCAACTCAAAACCCAACAAACAAACACAACATTGATTGTCAGTATTCTTTTTATTTTCACACACATCAAATTATATATATTTTCTATTTCTATATTAAATTAAAAATTAGTTTTAGATCAAATAATTATTATAATTCAAATGATCATGCTAACTAAACTTACATCCAAACACACCCATCCAATGACTTTTTTTTCCCATCCAATGACTTTGGAAGGGAGTGATGTGTTTCTGCCCTTTTTAAGGTTCTGTTTTTGTGCGAGTTTTTACCATATATTTTTACTATTCAATTTTTTATTTTTATTTTTAAAAAAATATCATATCAAATAAGTTTTTTTTATATTATACTACTAATTTATTTTATATTCAAAACATCACATCAATCTTTATTTATATCGCGTCAAACAACTATTCAAATTCAATTTTTTACTATTAAAAAATTCAAACCCAAAAACTAAAACTCACGCACAAAGAAACCCTAATTGTTTTTTGGATATTGAATTGTTTTATAATAATGTTGCATTTAAATAAATATTGGAAGTATTTTGAAATATTTGTTGTTTGGAAAATTAGTAACAAGTTGAATAGAAGATAGATATTTGCAGACAACTAAATATATGTTATGTAATATTTCGATGAAACTTATACTCACTCGGTCTCATATTACGTTTTTTACGAAGTTTAAGAAATATTAGTATTATATTGAGATATAGTAGAAATAAAGATAAAAAGATTAAACTACTTTTATTGACATTGTATGATATAAAAATAATAGTATTTTTGTAATATATTGTAAATTTAAATGATATTTGTAATGTTAGGTAGATAGCAGAGTTATTAAAAAAAATAGAAATTGATATTTTGTTATGGAACTGACCAAAATAAAAAAAATGAATAAATTGTTAAGGGATGAGGAAGTATTTAGAATGTAATATTTATTGGAGAGATTTTTTTGTTAATAATGAGAAAATAATTACAATACATCAATATAAGAGTATTCTATAATTAAAAGAACGATAGCCTTAATTAGAAAACTTTATTTAGATATAAATACGCGCATGAATCAGCATGACTAATATATATTTATATATATATGTCAATATATTTATAATACAATATATATTATATTATAGCATTATCATATGTTATCTTATGATTATATCTTTATTATGTATAAATATACGTTGATCATTCGTATAATATATGTTGATTCAATCAAATCAACACCATGCTCACTTTACCGGATCAACGAGAGATCCACAGCCTATAAATACATATTATTTCTTATAAATTAAAATAAAGAATTTCCGCTTTACAAATAACACATTTGAATTTTTATTTTTTTATTTAATTTGCACTTTTACTTTGAATATTGTTAATGTGAAATAATTTTTGTGCAATATTTCCAATGAAGGCTAATTCTTAAATATAACACTATTATACAATATATATATATATATTGTAAAATTAAAAATAATATAAGAAAAAACAAATAAACAAACAAGTTAGCAGACCTTAGTCTAATGTACAAAATCTTCAAAACTATATGCCGTGCTTTTATTACATTTTAAAAATATTTTTTTTTTTAATACTATTCTTTGATATAACTTATACTCCTTAATTTCCTCTGGAGAATTTGTGTACTATTAGGTGGGCACAAAAACTAAAAAATTACTTCATTTGTCCCGGTTAAAATATTCCTTTTAGTTTAAGTACGGAGTTGTAGGTATTGTGTAATTAATAAGTAATTAAAAAATATATTAGTGAAAATAATTATAATTTAATAAAAATAATAATAGATTAAGATTAAGATGATAAATAATTTAATTAAAATATAAAAAAATTTAAATTATGAATTTTAAAATATGATAAAAGCATATATATATATAATTATATTTCCAAAAAAGAGCTGACAAATTATGTGGAACACACGGAAATAAAAAAAAAATTGAAAAATTAAGTGGGACGGAAGGAGTATAATCTTATAATATTAAAGTAATATAGGTCAAAAAAATAAAGTAAAAATATATAAAAAAAATTATTAAGGAAAAAAATGGTAAGTAAGTAGAAAAAATAATGAAAATTTTTTTGATTATTTGTTAAAGTATGAATAATAAAATTGTAAGTAAATAAATATTTTTTTTATAAATAGAGTATACATAAGTTTAGTTGACAACTAAAAAATGAATATTGACATAATTTCAGCGGACGGAGGAGATGCTATTTACATATAAAGTATATAATTAAAAAACACACACATTGAATATACAATATTTGAATTTCGATTTAAAATAATAATATATTTGAATTTAAATAATTATATGATATAATATAAATAAGTATTAATATAAAATTTTAATATAAATAAATTAATTTTTAATATAATATAAAAATTAAAAATGATAAATATTTTATCTAATTTATTTTTGGAGGGGAGAGAGAGTAATTAGTATTCTTTCCCTCTCACTTAATTTGTCCAATATAGCTTAGCCACAGAGTTTTAGATATTATGTAATTAGTAGGTAATTAAAAAGTATATTGATAAAAATAATGATAGATTAAGATGACTAAATAGTTTAATTAAAATTAGAAAATTATACATTAGAAATTTTAAAATGTGATTAAAGTGTATAATTATATTTCCAAAAAATAATAACAAATGATGTGGAACTGACAAAGATAGAAAGAGTAGACAAATTAAGTGGTACGGAGGGAGTATATTTTTTTTTGTAAAAAAAAAGGTTGTGAGTATTAACTTTTTTATATAACATATATATGAAAATTACCTTTTAAATATGATGTTTTTCGAAGTAATTAAACAACAACAACAACACCACCACCA